CTAGGGAAGGTGACCCTAGGGTGTGTTCTGTTGATGACCTTTGAATGTTAATGTGTGGTGTATGTAGCGTGCTGTATATGGTGTACTGTCTGAGTGTCAGAGTTATTGTTTCCCCAACCTGGAGGACCAGTGGCTGATTATAGTCACGTGGCTAGGCGATGGGGTCGCCACTTTCCTACGCCATCTTGGTATCGACAAAACAAAATTTTGAGTTACCTCTTGTCCAATTTTACGCCATTCCTCTGACAAAGTTTCTTTTAAATAATTTTAAAATGAATCATATTTTTCTTACTTTCAAATCCAAGGTATAATATGTGTTATGGCATTTATGCCTGGCGACTGTGGTGGCCATTTTCGATTGGCTGGGGACATTGTACAGTATCCATTCTTTTGTTTTATTTGATGTGTGCTTGGCCTCATTGCCTGTCGGAAGATAAATGCATATTTAATCCTCAGATTTCCGGCATAATTGTTAAATTATGTCATAAAATGTCAACATATTGTTTCGCATTCATAATATTGTCAATGAAGGTTGAGTTTCCAACGTCATTTCATTTCATGACATGCCCTCCCAAACCTGGAAAACTCCACCTTGTTTTTTTACAGGAGACCTCACATGTGAAGTTTCCACTAAACATAACTTGGGGCCATTAGAATGGAATATGTTAAACTTACTTTCATTTGAAAAGATATCATTTTTCTAGAATTCTAGATCTTTGTTAATTTAACTTTTGGCAAATTCAATTCTTTTCTTTTTTTGCAGTTCACCTCTGTAATAATAGATTTTTTCTTTGAAAGCTGTCATAATAATGATATTTATGAATTATATTTCTAACATAAGGTGGTAATTGAAGTAAATGTGACCCATTCTGCTATCTATGTGGCTGATAAAGTGTCATTTTGCTCCACAATTCGATGGATATTCATTTGAGCCCTCTTATTAAATTTTGATTGCTGCTCTGAATGGGTTATGTTTAAAACTTTCTAAACTTCCATACAATATTTTGAACACTTCTAAAACTAATTTCTAATTTATTCGCTATTTGTCAGTAATTAAGTCCATTAGATTATAATTTAATGATGTGTTTTTTTAGACTGACACAATATTCACTGGTTTTACCTATTTTTTTATGAAAATTATACAGCAAAGACTGATTTTTATTATTTTCATTGTATTATCGTCAATCCTCGATTCTAATTTCTTGAAAAAAAGTATTAATTTATTTTGATTGTAGCTAATAGTAAACATTTATATCTGTGCCAATACTTTTTTGACCCTCAAAATTTACTCATCATGTTTACTTTAACCATAGTTTTTGAATTCCCTAACATTCATTGGTTCTAAAATATGATTCTCAAAGGCCACTTTGTTATATAAATATTATTTCTGGAAAATATCTTAAATTATTGAGATTGAAAAATTGGAGTGTTCAATACTTTTTTGATCCACTGTATGTAGATTTTTTCAATGTTTGAAGGATTCTTTCCTTACCTTCAGAAATATAACAACATATCTTGTAATATATTTTCAATTGTATACTTTGAAATAGCTATATATCCACTTTCCTGTTTTCCATATTCTATCTTTATTTAGTGCTATTACAAATTTAAAAAATAAAAACGGGAGATCTTATAAATGTACTGTTTCTTTTTCACAAACCTATTTATAGAAATACTAATAATCTTAAGGCAATATCCCGAGAAAATCAATCATTATGTTATCATTTTGCCTAGTGTAAATAAGATCCCAATTTTATCAGTCAGACTTATATACAGAATTAATTTATGGGAAACTAATTAAAAAGTAAAAATATATGATAATTCGAAACTTTTATTTCTAAATGTTGACATTACTTAGTATTAATTGAGGGTTTTAAACTTCATTTTCTGTCTAATTCAGAAATATATGACAGCAAAATCATAATGTATATTATAGTGAACCAAAAATGTTTGATGTAAATAATCAAGGGATAATACCATACAGTTGAATAAATATGATTCACCAAAATAACTAAATATTTAAACAAATCATTTTTAAATATTAAGTTAATCGCATTTATCAATAATTATTATTCAGTAAGTTACTTGATTATAACTGAAAAACAGTTCTTGAAATCTTGTAAAAATAAAAAAAATGATTGAATGTCAATTATTATTTACAAGAATAATAAAATAATATTTGAGATCAATTAGGAATTTAATATGTTCATATTTAATTATATAAAAGATAAATTTAACAATGTGCAATACTCATAATTGTCTAGGACATCCTGATTTGACTACATTTTTAGTATCATCAGCAGAAAATTCTTCTTGGCCTCTTTTAATAGTTTTTGTGAACTGAAAATCTATCAAATGATGAATTCTCGATTGGATTTATTTATGTAGGAAAAGGTGTACTTATTATCTCATTAAGTTATTTATGGAGAGGTGTACTTGCCTTGGTGTATTACAAAGAACCTTCACCTTGTAATATGTAATTTTTGTGTTTAAATATAAGAGTAAGCTATATGTTTAAATTTGGCAGAATGAAAGTTATAATTTCTTATAACTAATCTAACAGTAATTTCAAGATGACTCTGACCATTAAATTACAATGCATCCATTCTCATTGCATAAGCTCCATCAGAGTTGCTTAGTAGCTATGATATATGTTTACAACATAAAAAAAAAATATAAAAAACAGTTCAGACTGAATTACTAAAGATGTGATAAAAACAAATAAATAAATAACACAGAACTCTCTTATACACTTGGAGATTATATTTTTCTTTATTGTATTGATTTTTCATTAGTGGTTTTATAGTTTTCATTTCTCCGAAACTTCTATTATTAAATTATAGTTAATACAAACCATTTTTCAATGATCTTGATGTAACAGAAACTGCTGAACATTAGTTGTTCACAATTAATCTTCATTTTTCATAATTTAATTTAGATCAGGTGTAGATTAGATCTAGATATTGTAGTTTATTTATCAATACATAATAGATTTTAGGTGGATTCAATCTTTATCATCTTATGTAATTTTTTAAATCAAAATATTTTTTTTTTTATGAGGTGTTTGAAATTTGAAATTGATTCTCCGAAAACAGATAAAATGAATAAACAATTAAAATTGATTAAGATAAACTCTAATTGATTATCTAAGTAAAATTTCTCAATGTAGTGTCTGAATATTGAAATAAATTTCATGGAAAATTATAGGTTCAAATATTTATAATTTCACAAAAAAAAAAGACATGAAATTCTTTTTTTTTTTGCGATTTCATAAGTGTTTCAAAATTTATTTTTCAACTTTCCTTTCCTTCAGTCACAACAAATGCCATCTATTGAGAGGTTTGTAAACTAAATCGAAAAAAAATCAATAGCCTGGAACTGCTGTGCTGCTACCTACTGCTTTGATTACAAACTTGTAGGGCTAAGCAGGCAATTACCCTTAATGCAAATTAACCAATGGCAGCACAGCTCATTTACATATTGTCTTAGCACGTGTAGCTCACGCCATAACCTCCCTGAAACCTCCTCCATGCTTACTAAAGCCGCTGTCACATAATTAACTTGTTAGTGTATTGTTATTTAAGTTAATTAGTGTTGTTATGTAATAATTAATGATTTTTTCAATTTGTTAACACTATTAGACCAACTTGCTTTGATAACAATGCTATTAATGTTACCTATTACTAGTGACTTCCAACTTAAAGATATTCACTAATATTTAAATTTTGTTTATTTTTTATTTGAATCAATAGGATGAAAAATAAAAACAACTTAGAAATTCTGCAAAATAGATCTATTTTAAAGTAAATAATAACATTGATGCTCCACTGATGCTAGTGTCAATACTTTTTTTTTACATTTGAGGAACATAATTTAAAATAATGTATCCCCCAAAATATAAAAAAAAAAAAAAAAATGGAACTATGAAAACAACCATTCTCTAATCTAACCATGACAAACACTGATAATGCATGCTCAGATAAAGCTATTATAACCTTACATGTGTATTTTAAGCCTTGATTCCTGTCATTTTTCCTTTGCCATCACTTGAACACACTTTTAAACTCTAATCCAGTACCTAACACAACTTATCTAACACTTAAAATTAAAGGAAAATTGTTAGAAAGATAAAAAAACAAACTATGAATTTTTTTTTATCAGCTTAGTAAAAAATAGGAACTTTATAACCAAACATTGAGAACAAGTTATGCCCCTAAAGAGTGCTCCACCTGTTCAGCCCTGTAAATTTATTTTGAACACCTTACCTTAGATATAATTATTAATAAATTATTGGTATTTTGTATGAACTTGTAATGATATTTGTTATTTTAGACCATGAAAATGCAGGTTATCTTAAACTTGATAAGCCATATTCATAAGACAAATGATTAAAACTAAATTATTTCAACAGGACACAATACATTTTTTTTCATTAAAATTAATTCTTTATTAGTAAATCATTTCTAAAAAAGTTGTGCCATAACATAAAAAAAAATTAATTTATCAGATCTAACAATAAGAAGGTGAAATTAATATTAACAATAAACTATTATCTCACTTTCCTTTAATTTTTTTACTGTAGTTGGTACAGATAATTGAATAGCAAAAATACTTTATAAAAATAATGAAGAACAGATACTATAAAATTTATATTTGAACTTTCCTATTTTACCTATATGTAGAGAGAGAGGGAGAGAAAGTGAGACTGTAAATTATGTGATAAATATATATGAATAATAATAATATATATAAATAATAATCACATTTAAGAAATAATTGAGGAAGAAATGAAAAAATCAAAATATTATACAATCATATTTATTAGACCATATAAAGTTTTAGACAACAAATGTTTTCATACAATCTTAAAGATTAATGCCTTATTTTTTATATTTTATATAAAAAAAAAGTTGGCAGTTAACAGTATTACCATAATAATTTTTTTTAAGGCATCAATTAAAAGACAATTATCAACAATTTGTATGCATTGAAAAAATAAATTATATTTTATTAAAAGCTGCGATGTCGACTGATTGCACAAAGTCCTCGAATTCTTGTATTTTTTCAACTAATTCATCAATAGAAACTTTTTCATCTTCTACAACGGACATTATTTGCAATTTCTTGATACCATACGCCAGAGGGACTAGTTTGGCTGAAAGAAGTGATGAAAATATTAATTTAACTAAGAAGAAATATAAAATAGCATATGAATAATATAATCTACAGGTTATAATTGGCTACATCTCACTGAATACATAATCAATCGACTAGCATGCTTTGTAAAATAAGACTACTTCCATTTAATTCAATATAATCATTACAAAAATGAAGACAATGAGATTGTAATTGAATTTAAAAGCATTTTCAGGATTCCACAATTGATCACATTTAAAAAACATGATTCAATAACTAAAACAAAAGTATGTACTACATGAAAAGCACAGAATACATAAATCATATATTATTTACTGAATGATTATTCGATCATCTAAGATTACATTCAAACAACTGAAATCTTGTTACACCACTAACTAGAGTCAAACATAATATTATGAACAGAAAATTTTAGTAATACACGATTCACTAAATGAGTTGTTAGTTATTAGGCTTTGTCTAAGTTTTCTCTCAAGAACAGACCCTTTTTTCAGTACTATAATATTATATGTATGACACGGAAGAATACTGGAACAACTAAAAAATAATTTTCTTTCCAAGTTTAGCATAATCATAATCATGCTGATGGATCATGAGCCAAATAATGGGTAGGTACATAACACTTAAAAATATTATCATCTTATTAAAAGTTAATTTTTCAGTTGTTCCAACTCTCATCCAAGCAAGAGTTGTGATGCACACCCATGTAAATCATAAGTTTCTGTGCATCAAATGTACTATATGAAAAGAATTAATTAAAATTTAAATACTCACAAGCTCCCCATACAAGACCGTCCATTTCAATAGTCCTAACATTCTTCTCCATTTCAGCCATATCAGTCTCATCGTCCCAAGGTTTAACATCAAATAATACAGATGACTTAGCAATAAGGGCAGGTTTCTTGGATTTCTTTTCAGAATATGCTTTCAATCTCTCCTCTCGGATTTTGGCAGCTTCGGCATCCTAATGAATACATTATTATTAGTCACTTACCAACGATGTTATGTTAAAATGATATATTTACATTCTTTTTTATTTTTTTCTGGGAAGTTGTCTAATATTCTTAGTTATTTGGCAATAATTACTTCCAATAAACAACAATTGAATATATTTCCAGTATTATCAACGTTACATGTTAACAAGTTTAGGTTTCGGGATATTTACTCCCATCTTCAGAACTACAATCACAATGATCTTGTGGATGCAAGGCTTAAAAATAATAATATGCTCCATCGTCAAATTATAAAGTTCATGTTATAAAATATATCATCTAAAGCAAGATGTTGCTCTAGATGATATATTTTATAACATGAACTAGAACTTTGACGATGGAGCACATTATTACTTTTAAGCCTTGCATCCAAAAGATCATTGGGATTGTAGTTCTGAAGATGGGAGTAAATATTCCGAAACGTAAACTTGTTAACATGTAACGTTGATAATACAGGAAATATATTCAATTGTTGCTTATTGGAAGTAATTATTGCCAAATAACTAAGATATATTTACAATTAATGATAATCCAATATTATTTTTAATCTGATTCTTTAAAGAAAAAAAGTTGAAAAATTAAAAACGTGTTAAGAACACTTGTCAAGATATTTCTTAAAATCTATTTCATTTAATTATTAAGTATCTATACATTTTAATGTACCAGTAAAAATAATTTAGTCAAATATTGTTCCTATCCTCCAACTTGAACTTTTTACAGAACTCAAAAAGTTAACATTTTTTTTTCTTGAAAATTCTATATAAACACAAGAAATATAATTAAATTATATTCAAAATAATGAAATAAATAACACCATTTTATTTAATCAAATCAATATTAGGAATATTGGATTCTGCACAGCTTTTAATAAATATTTTGTGCATGCTCTCATGAAAACCAAATCACTTTATTTCAATTTTTAGAATAGCATTTCTGATGTTCGGAAGAAAAATAACTGAATTGCCTAATGAAATGAGCATCTGAAATGTTCCAAGAGTGTGCAGTTAAAAAAAAAAACACAATAAAAGAGTTAAGGGTTTTTCATGGGAACAGTAAAAGAGAGACTGTTTTATAACATAGGCGTCAGAGTCTTAAACCCAATCAAAAAAAAAATATATATAATAGTAAAAAAAAAGTATAGAATCAGTAATCCAGTTAAAAAGATAACCATTGGCAAAGATAGTTCAGTAATCAAAAGTGCATTTTATTGGACTCAGGGAACCCTTAAATGTATAGATGTGAAAACCGAACATCAATATTTTGACTTGATTACAATACCTTACTCAACCAGTACTGGAAGGAAACTAAAAACATCTTAATGAGACCAAATCAACAAAGATACAATAAAGAACAATGGTATTGGACTTCGTACCTAAATCTATAAGGAAGGTCATGTCAGTGGGGATGATTAAAACTAGATATTTGTTCAAATAACTACAAAACATAAGCAATTAAACTAATAAAAAAAGCAATGAGCACTGATCAAACGGCATGCGCAGAGAGGTGATGTAAAATGAAAAGGTCAATGCCACAATTCTCTAAGGAAGGAAGATTGTCCAGGTTGCAGAAAAAAAAGAAAAAAAAAACTGATTCGGAAACAAATATTTAAAAAACACTCAAAAAAACAACAACAGTTTGTTCCTTATTTGGACAGAAAATATTCCTTAATAAACAGTTTTAAGAAAAAAATATTTAAAAAAAAAACTGCTATTTCTCAGAAACAAATCGATGAACACATGATTAAGTATCAAATGTATACTTATCTACATAGGTATCAAAGCTATCTATCATGAAAACTACATGCAACCAACAATGATTCTGGATTAAAATATTAATTTAATTTTTAATTGGATCATTACCTCAAGTTAATCATAATTATTAAAGTACACTTTTGATAGAGCTTAACTTTTAAGTACATATTTCTAAATTCTGATCATATCTACTAATACAAAATACAAATTATGGGAATCAAAATAACACAGACCTTACTACACCCCAAGAACTAGTTAAGCTAAGTGCAAAGTGTTATGAATTATTATTTTTAAATGTTATTTAATGGCTTTTCGCGATATACTTAGAACTTAACAAGGTGAAAACAAAACCTGATCAAACCTAATTTCTCTTCCTAAAATGGAAAGTAAAATGCTATATGGTTGGGGATTGGTTGTCATAGTCAACCTTTAACAATCTTGATGATTGTCTTAATAACATCTACAGTGTGATCAATGTAATCTTGAACCAGCCGCCATCTGGGAATAGCACTTGAGAACTAGTTCTCATTATAAATGCCTTTTTTTCAAACTAAAGAGACAAGTAATTAGTTACAAAATAAATTTGTAAAAGATGTCATAGAACAGTATTTACCTCTTCATCGTCGGAACCAAACAAATCAACATCATCATCATCATCAGCAGGTTTTGAAGGTGCAGATTTGGCTGGAAGAGGACAGGCATCTGATCCGCCTTTTACACTGAAGCCAGCTGGAGCTTTCTTCACACCAGGTAATTTCTTTCTCTCTGCATCAGAGAATGAGGAAATGTGGTTATACCATCTTTTGGCATGAGGTGTTTGATCACTAGGTGGCTTAGCAAAACCTTCTAGCACTGCAAGATCTGCCTGGGATGGAACATACCTAAGATTAAGATAATAATATTTAAAAAACAGATTTACTATATTATTATTTAACAATTGATAAATAATAGATTGACAATTTAGAAACAAAACTGCAGCTGGACAACACTTTTAGCTGATGTAGCAATATTTTGTCTACGTAATGAAAAAAAAAGTATTCATTTAATGATATTCAGTAGAAAAATTCATTGTGGTATGTTCATTGGGATTATGCTCTTTTATATTCCAATTATCATAAGCAGAGCTGGTCTTCTGTAGGTTACCTACATTTATTCTGCATAGAGCAAGAAAGTGATGAGTTCATAACTCATGAGGGTCCAAGTTTGTCTTTAAGATGATGTACCAACAAGCTCGGCCATAATGACCTCAAAAATAAGATAACACTTAATTAATCTGCAATTTTTGGATTGTTTCATAAATACACTGGCATGTTACCAAGGGACCACTGGGGTAAAAACCAAAATTACTATGATTTGAAGAAGAAATTTGTAACCAATACATTTAGTCCAATGGAAGCAGTAAATTTCTCTAAAATTAACTTTAAAATTGTAAGCCAGTGGTTTAATTTTTCCTAAAATTTCAATTTGTTATTTCATATGGAATGAATCATATAGTTCTTCCCTAAAGATAAATAAAATTACACTGTTTAGTAAGAATCTCAAGCAATACGAAAAGTTAAGCAAATAAAATATAATAAAAACATAAATTTATAGAACATATGGACAATTAACAATTTTATAAGAGTAGTTGTCAAATAATAATGTAGATATTATTTGTAAAATAAAATAACATTCTTTAATCAAACAAAGTGGTTTCTAATGAATCAATATAAAATGTATCAGTCATGAAGTAAAATTAAAGATTGGAATTCCTGCCATCTGGTTTCATTGAAAGAATTTTTTAATAGGTATGATAAACAAAATTTTTACAAAAAATGAAAACTAAAAGCATACTTAAGAAACATATACTGGGGATTTGAGTACTTATCGCAATTCTTAATAATCAAGAATATGAAATCCTAAAAAAAATCCGAAATCTTTCAAGAGAACTAAGGCATAAGAAACTTAATAATTTTTTCAACTCCTAATGAAACACGTCAGCATTTTTGCTTAAGTTACTCTTAATTTAATCGAAATGAGCATAAGAAAAAAACCAACTCTCCATAGATATTTACAGATTATATAATAAAACTTATAATCCTTCATTTATAATCTCAAGAGAATCATAATTTCTACTATAAACAAAATGTCTATAGCTAGGAATCCCCAAAATAAACAATAGGTACACAATTATTTAAAATATTTAGGGAGGAAACAGCTAAGAACTTGTAAGCCTGAGAAAGACAATAGAAACTTATAAATTATTGTTAAATAAGTTCATGTGAACATAATCCATATCAATAACTTTATGAATTATTTAGAATTCAAAATACTTATAGCTTGTTTATACTGTAAATACGTCTTTAATGCATTTTAATGTCATGTGTTCAAAAGGAGGAAGACATATCATTAGTGATAATTTTGATAAACGATTACTTATCAAAGAATATGGACGTTTCAAGTAAATTTCATGTTTCAAAAATATATATTTGAAGCGGTATAGAAGGTAATACACGTGGTATTCTCATTTAAAATTATCCATATTAAGATAATATCTAACTTTACCCTTCAACGTAACTCCTATCGGCAATATATGAGTCGAACTCCTTTACTCCTTGGTCGGTCTTGAGGTCGCTGACAGTCATTTTTCTTGGAATTTACTTGGAGAAATCGGGTAACCAACTCCGAGCTTAAAATCCAAAAGGGAAGAGGATGGCAGGAGCGCCGACGTCACACTTGAGAGGCGCCCTCTGCCACTTCAGCTGATATTTGGGAACTAACCTCAGAAATATTTTTCGTTTCTACAAATCCATGGTTTTAGGTAAATTAATTTTAGTGATGTTTCAAATTATAGTGATCTGATTTATTCGTTTGTGTACAGTTTATCGAAAATTTTGAAAGTATTTATTCCGTAAAGGTTTGATATATTATTCTTATAGTATTGTTCGTTACTACTACCTTACTTTTCAAATATTTTTATTTTAACTCATATTGTACTTCTTTAAAAAGTTAAATAAAAAACAATGTTTCCTATAAACTATCTTTGATAAATGATCATCATTTTTTAATATAGGACATTTTTTAAAAATTTCTACTCCATTTGACATTTGTCCATTCATGATAAGTAAACATCATTATATGATTTCAGAAGTAAATTGAGTAAAAATGCTTCGTGTACCTCTTTCGAAAGCGCTACCAAATGCTGTCAAAGCTGTGTGTTCTCCCAAGAGGGGGAGCACCACTCTGGCTAAAGCCCCAGAAAAAATTGAAGTGTTCATTGATGATAAAAGTGTTATGGTAGAACCAGGGACTACAGTTCTTCAGGTTAGTGAATAAGTTTTATTTTCCATCTGTTGCATGAAATAGTATAAAATAGTATTCATTCTAGGGCATATTGTACCAAAGTAGCGTTATCTACAAGTGATAGTAGACCCTTATTCTTTACATATGAAGGACGGACAATATCAAGTTTTGTTCATTAATGGGTGTAATAATTAAAGGAAAACTACATTCCTATCAGGTTATACCCTATCATGCTAAAGAACAATTCTGTCAGATTTTGGACTAACATTTCCTCCCATGATCTTGATATATGCAGATGATTTATATTTGAGAATGTTGGGGAGTAATAACTTTTTTTAAAGAAATTTGTCCTTCCGGGCTGAGATAGGTAAGGGATTTGAAGAAGGAGTAAAATTATTGGAATGATAAAGGTACTTTTCAATAATCTACTATTCCTATTATTAAAGATTTTGTTCTAACTTTCGCTTTAAGTTCACAATTTTCATGCTATAAATTTTACAAGAATCGCATCTTTTTGATTATTATTTGCCGGAATATTAATGAAAAGTTCTTGTGTGCCAATCCATTATTCAAGTAATTTTCAGTTAGATTAGTTAATTGTTTTATCCAATTTGTTATATATCCTAGCATAATCTTATAACTTGGCTACTGCAAGCTTTAAGCGGTTTTAGAATTAGGGTGAAAAACAGTTGCATTAAAAATCTTTAAATAGTACATGGACCCCAAGTGCTGTTATTGATTTCTGAATTGTTGCATTTTGTTAAGCAATGAAGATTATTTTCAGTCCTCTTTAATTTTGCTTTAGGTTTTCATAAATTGCTTTAGGGTTTTTATTAATGAATTAGTATTAAATTTATAAAAGTTTAAGTAATTAACCAATTCAACTTTTAAAGTAGAATGAATGTTTAGGGTAATGATGATATTTCCTAAATAATGTTTTGAAATATTTTTAATTTTATATGCTTTATTATTACAAATCAGTTAATTTGCGATATGAGGAGTTGTTTGTAGCTGAAAAATATTTTATTGTTGATAAGAAGAATTATTATTAATCATTTTGTAACTTTTCATCATAGGCTGCGGCAATGGTTGGTGTAGAAATACCACGATTTTGTTACCATGAGCGTCTTGCTGTCGCTGGAAATTGCAGAATGTGTCTTGTTGAAGTTGAAAAATCTCCTAAGGTCTATATTTCTGAATATCATTTGTAGTATAGTAGTGTTTTATCATTTTATCTTCATTGTGATTTTATTGTTAGCCTGTAGCTGCTTGTGCAATGCCAGTCATGAAAGGATGGAGGATCAAAACTAATTCTGATATGACAAAAAAAGCTAGAGAAGGTGTCATGGAATTCCTTCTCGTCAACCACCCACTTGATTGCCCAATTTGTGACCAAGGTGGTGAATGTGATCTTCAAGACCAGAGCATGGCCTTTGGTTCTGACAGATCAAGGTTCACTGATATTCAGTTTTCTGGAAAGAGGTATGAATTCTGAAATGGATTTCTTGCCTTTATTTTAAATATAGGTTATTAAAAAAAAAGAAAGAAAAGAAAAAGAGCAAAATATATTACTGTTTTTGTAGACAACATTAAAATAATCTATTAGAATCCTTGTTATATGTGTATGTACCTCATAATAATGGTGGAAAAACAAATTACAGTGCAATCTCGGTTATCTAAACTAATTGCTGCTGAGATATTCAAATTCTAAATGAAAAGTTCAGATTACAGAGTGTCCATCAAAACAACATACAATAAAAGATTAACACTGAATATATAAATACAACTTTATTAACTTAATACATATATATATTCTAACTCGGAAACATTTTTTTTCTTTTTCTTTATAAAACATTCGATATTTTTGTTTGTTTTAATGTCATATTAATTCTTCTCTTACACGTAGGAGAAGTATTTTTTGCCATGGTATATTCACACTTCCTCATTTCCTCTAGTTAGTTATTAGAGAACAATTGTGTCGGCATCAATTTGTGCCCAATATTTCATTAACAGTGGTATAAGGCTATTTGTTTCATAATTATCTAGTGTCCTTTTTTGCTTCCTCTGTACACCTACTGCTGTGTATCTAATTTTCAGGAATTATGCGGGTTAGTTCGTAGATGGCCCCATATCTATTTCATCAAACTTTCGCTTTCACGTGCACAAATTAATTATGTCATTATTGCAAAACACTCGTTATATCAATATTAATTGTTCAATTTGGCTTAATGTTGGAAGAAAGGTGGGTATGAGTAAATAACTTATGCTGTATCAATTTTATTGAATTCCATCCACTTAATTTCTCTTAAATATGCACAAATGTATTTTCCTTGATACCCCAATTTCTAATAAACCGCACATTCCATTTGGCCAAAAGCTGGAGGGAAGTAAGGGATTGATAAACAAATGATCAGATAGGTATTAATTTCATCAATTTTTCTTATGAAAGTTAAGTATAATGCAATACATTGTTTATTGAACCTACCTGACAGATGTTTTTAAATAGTATTTAAGTAGTATTTTTATTTCTGTATTTATTTATTTTTTACTAGGTTTATTTCCAATAAGATAATTTGAGTTCATCGGTGGTTGTATTATAAATTTCTTAAATACAATCTGGGCAATGGTTTTAAATTTGTCACTGGCCAGTTGTAAAAAAAAATTGTTGCTGATCTTTAATGTAAGTAATAAACAAAATTTTTATTTGTAGGATGATTAGTTGTATTAGTACGAAGAAGCTATTTTTAATAAATTTTATAAAAATAATCAGATTTAAAATGGAGGATTGATCCGCTAATGGTGGGCAGGGCTTTGTCATTCTTATGTTCGTTCTAAAAGGAACTTTGTGAAATTTAATGAATTTACTAATATTTGTGTTCCATTGTTTATTATTTTATTAATGTTCACTGCATTTCTTATTACTCTTACAGTTGCTATATGATGGTTTTTATTGTTTCTACTGATTTAAAAGCAATGTAAGATTTTTAATATGGCTTTGTTGGATCTAATATAGCGAATGGATGGAATATAGTGAATGGTTTGGTTCGTTAATCCAACCCATACTGATAACTTTGTTCTTTTCTTACAGCTAAAAGAAGTATATCTCAGGAACAAGTTTGTGACGCTTATTATTTTTTCTTCATCATTCCTGAAAATGGTCTTTACAGTTTGGTCAATCTTCCGAAGATATAACAGCTTATTTTATGTTGATCTTGACTGATCGCTGATAAATTATTATTTGAAAGTAATTATTTAATATATATATTTTTTTTTTCCAGAGCTGTGGAAGACAAAGATGTTGGTCCATTAATTAAAACTGTGATGACAAGGTGTATTCATTGCACAAGGTGTATCAGATTTGCCTCTGAAGTAGCTGGTATTGATGATCTTGGAACTACAGGACGTGGTTCAGATATGCAGGTTATTCTTGTTGATTAATTTTTTAATCTTTTTATATTTATTAAAAGAGTATGTCGTCGGTTTATTGCAAAAAGTCATTAAGTGACATTTCATAACCTTACATAATTAAGAACTTTAAAGAATTTTCTATTTGTGAAATCAGTAAATTGTAGGCTTGTTGTAACTAACTATGTTTGATATATAATACGATTTGTCATTTTCATGAACTTGAGGTGTTTTTGTATCGATACGTAAGTTTAAAATTCATAAAAACATATTTGAATGTTAATCTATATCGAAAAAGCACTTGGTGAGCTTTGAGAATATGAGCTTTTTGTCTGAAATGTTTGTTTATATAATTTTTTATATTTTATAAATTTGGCCATCTAGACCATTCTGGAAGTGGAAACTTTTATATTAGTTTCTCAGATACCTCAAAGCTCCTGTTGTAAATGGTTGATCAAATTTTGTCTGTTGGGTGGTAGATCCTTCATCATGACAATGCCCCTTCACAAGCTTTGCTGGTTGTATATGACTTTTTGGCTTCAAATTCAATTACTTTTCATTTTCAAGTACTCTTTAAAACTTCGATTACGAACCATTAAGTATCTACTAGTCTATTAAAAAAACACATTTTTTACTGCTGCCATCGTGCAAAGGATGCCCGATTCAGTACGCTGGGAGTTAGGAAGCAAACCCTTACAAAGCAAAACAAGAAATAATGAAAGTGGTGCACCCATCCAAAAGATGATCATGGAACAGGCACTTGTATACACAGATACAAACTAATTAGTACATTTTTTGGACTACACGTGAAAAGTAAAGTTGTATTAAAAACCTCACATCAAATATTTGACCTGATTCGTATCTTTATCTAGTAGCATTTAGAAATTTAAAAAAAGTTAACAAAGTAAAATGGTTTGAAAAAAATGTTTAGTTAATTTTTTGTTTCTCTCTCCTCTCTCTCTAGAAAATTATTGAGTCACAACTTCTGTTATTACTTGTGGAAATAAAAATCAAGCTATTAAAGGATTGGGTTTATAAAAATAATAAATTATCTGAAAACATTTTTTTGTTATAAATGTTTTTAATTGAGAAGTGTTTTTTCTTAATAGTAAAAGAGCTAACATGACAATGACTTGAGCAAAATTTAAGTCTTACTAAATTTATAACTTTATTTTTTAAGTTCATAATTATATTAAACTTTTTAGTATTGCATCCCATCATAGAAAATTCTAAAACTTGAATTATTTTCTTAATGAACATTTAGATCTTATTTCCCCATTAAAACTTATTCATTTTAGATTGTAATTTTTTTTAATTATTTGTAATTGTGTTTTAGATTGGAACATATGTGGAAAAATTCTTCTTGTCAGAACTGTCTGGAAATGTTATTGATCTGTGCCCAGTGGGAGCGCTTACATCAAAACCCTATGCTTTCACGGCCAGACCTTGGGAGACAAGGAAGACTGAGAGCGTTGATGTCCTGGATGCCGTAGGTTCGAATATTATTGTTAGTACAAGGACTGGTGAAGTGATGCGTATTCTTCCACGCCTTAATGAGGTAACTTTATTTGACATATTTTTATCATCTTGCAATAAGGAAAAAAATTAAAAAACCTATTGTTGTGATACAGATCAAATATTATTATTCCAATCTCCTTGCTTCAGGAAGTAAATGAAGAGTGGCTCTCTGATAAAGCTCGCTTTTCATATGATGGCCTTAAAAGGCAAAGGCTGATTACTCCGATGTTGAAAGGTCCTGAGGGTGAACTATTGCCTGTTGAATGGGAAGATGCTCTTTCTTTTGCTTCTAAGGTTAGTATTTTTTGTTATTTTGTTCATTATTTTGCAACTCCTTTTTTTTTTTTACCCCCTTCTGTTATGGGAACGAGAGAAAAAAGAAAAAAAATATTTAAAAACTGGAGGACCAGTAGTTCTTTATAAATCCTCAACAGCCTTACAAACAAGTTATGTTTCTATTAATCAATACAACATTCAATTCAAATGCAGTATTATTGACATACATTACAGTAGCTATTAAAGAAAATACCTGTTAATGTTGATATTTGAAATATCTTCACTAACATGGGGAAGTTGCAGTCAGTGGGTCACCGATTTCAACAAACATTTTTTCAGTGATGCTACGTTGAAAAATGTTAGACACATATCCCAGTGTTCATTCCAATGGGTCCTAGAAACCAAGAAAAAAAGATATATAATTTTATAAAATTTTGTTATTTATTTTTGTGCTGATTTTTACGTTATTATATATCAGTCAATTTCTTTTTTTTTTTTTGTGTGTAGAATAAGAAAATATAGTATTCATTGTGTTAAATAAATTCTAATGCACCATAAATTACATAAAACAAAAGACACTTCCAGTAGGCCAAGTAAATTTTTGTTATAAAAAAGCAACTTAGATTCGTTTTAAGGATACTTTAAAACTCCTAAATATGAATTTTTATATAAGTAAAAACATACATACAACCTTTAGTGCTTGATTTTCTCGTACAATTTTTTTCCTTGCCGTCTATTAAATCATTCATAACTCCTCAGGATTTGCTTCACATTCAACTTTAATATAAACATTGGAAAGCTGAATTACTGCTCTTCCTACTGATATTTACAACTTAAGGATTTCATTCCTTTTTAAGTTATAAATCAAGAAAAACTTCTAACCCATTTTTATTTTATATCTTTAGTTCTAATTTGTTTAAAAAGGTCGGGTTTATACCATTTCTTATAGCATATAGAGGCCTAAATCTTTGATATTTTTCCTATGAATCAGTGGAGTCGTTCTAAAGACATAACAATTTTTGTGATTGTCTACAAAATTTTCGAAGAGTCTAACAAGGCTAAAATTTCATGCAGACATTTTTAATATTTCAGTAGCTATAAAATTCCTTGTTTAAAAGATTTTTGAGATGCAAAAAACAAACATTAACTTTGTTTCTCCCTAAATAAAATTTGCTCCCACATTGGTATGTCGGTTGGTCCAAATTGTGCCCAAGTTGTAGCTATCTGCCAAATACAATATTTATTTATTCAAAACCTACGTGTCATCTAGAGTGAGTATATTTTTAGGTAGAAACAAAGTCAGTATTTGTTTATCACACCTCAATAAACCCTTAAATTAGAATTTTTATTGCAATTGAAAAATTAAAAAGTACTGCACCAAATTTTTTCTTAGACTGGACTCTTCGAAATTTTGTCGACAACTGCAAAAATTGTGACAACTTAAGAACGGCTCCACCGATCCTAACGAAAATTATTAGGGAATTAGGCCTCTGTTCATGCTGCACTAAATGATACGAAACCAACCTAAAGATATAGAATAAAAATGGTTAGAGTTTTTCTTAATTTCTTGCATAAAAAGGAATGAAATGCAAAAGTTATTGATGTTGGTTAGTAGTACAGCAATTCAGCTTTTCAATGATTATATTAAATTGAATTTATAGAAAATCTCAATAAGTTATGAATGCTTTAGTTGATGGCCATAAAATGAATTATCTAAGAAAATCAAGTACTAAGGTTTTATTTTTTTAATTGTATAAGAATTTGTATTTAAATGTTTTAAAGGATCCTTAAAACAAATCTAGCTTGTTTGTTCATAACAAAAATGTACTTGGCCTACTTTATCGGAAGAAAAAATAAATCAACAGATATATAAAATCAATAAAAAAATAAGCAGAGGCAAAAATAACATAAATTTTGTTTTAAATTTTATAAATAATTTTTTTCTTGGCTCTTAGAATCCATTGGAACGAACGCTGGGATATGATTCCAATATTTTTTGATGTAGTATCACCGAAAAAAATTTGGTTGAAATCAGTGATCTATTGACTGTACAAATAAATAAATAATAAATATTTCATAAAACAGATTACAATTACAAAAAACAATAAAAAAAAACAAAATATTTTTATTTTTAAGTTTATTTATTATCAGCCAATTTTACACAAATTTCAATAGTATAAAATATAAAATAAATAGTATGCACTGAAGAAGAACTTGAGAAATATTGTGAAAACATTTTTAGTTGGAGGGGTTTGAAAAGTACCACTCCTGGCAAGAACTTTAAAGATTAAATAACAAAACATTTTAAAGATAGAGTCTAATTGTTTAATAACAAGAATTTAAAAAAATTGGAGTAAGGAAAACGATAACAAAAATATAGGAATGAAGTTCAATCCTATACAAAAGATTTAAGAAATTGGAGTGGGGAAAAGCTTCACAAAATGCTTCTGTCTTTTCTCAAACTCATCCTAGACAGATTTTATTTCCAGTTATGTTCCATGAAATGATTTCAACTTTATCAACCAAATCAAATGAAATTGGGTTAACTAATCTAAATTTTATTGAATTTTTCAAGTAAGATTTTTAAACTTTTCAGTTTTCATTTCTTAAATTAAATTGATGTTTCATTTAAGGCGATTAGAGATGCCGGAAGTGAAATTGGAGTCATTGCTGGCGGGCAGGCAGATGCTGAAGCTCTGATCGCACTTAAAGACCTCATCAACAAGCTCGGTAGTGAACTAGTTTGCACCGAACGAGCTTTCCCAGACGATGGAGCTGGTACTGACCTCAGGTCCTCTTACCTGCTTAATAGCAAAATAACTGGTAAATATTGTCTTTCTTGAATTACTTAGTATTATTTCAGTTCTTTTTACTCCTTTTCTTCGATAGATTTGTTCGAAGCGTGAATAATTGTTATACAAAGTACTATAACCAAAAGAATACCTAAAATAATCAAACATAGAATATTATCATATTATTTCAGTGGAAGTTAGAACAACATAAAAGAAAAATTTGTTGTTATTGTTTAAAAATGTATTATTGTGGGAAGAGAGCACATTAGAGTTTTGATAGGGGTTTGCTTAATATTTGTTTTTAAATCTGTATACTATAATGGAGCTCCAAATCTATACCATAAATTTCTTAGTTAGGAACATGTACGGCTTTAAGATTCGAACTTAAAACTTTATTTCATTTTAGTATTCCTTAATTTTTTTTTTTTTTTTCACTTACCTATGTATAAAATATATATTAAGAGGAAGCGTTACAATCATGAAAAATTTTGAATAAGGATTCTCAAAAGAAATACACTTTTTGAGATATCTTGAATCCCTATAACTAAGTCTCACAAAATGGTCTATGTGTATGTGAATCACATAAGCTCATAAAGGAAAAGTCATTCAAAACTGAAATTACATATTTATAATGGAGATGTTCCAGTAACATTTTTGTCAAAATTGAATAACTAGAAGTGGCACTTCATTTCATTTAAATTCATACTTTTTTTAAAATATTCTCAAAAATGGCTCTAACGATATTAAATCATTGTAATTTTCAAAATGACTTCCTTTAAATTACTTTTATTTGGTAAATTTGAAATAGTTAATTGTCTCATAGTTTATAGTAATAAAACACGGCTTGATATAAACTATAAAAGAATTTGATAATTAAAGAAGAAAATATAAATAATCGATAATTAACTAAAGAAGGGAAAAAAAGTTATGTCTATTTAGTATTTACAGTTTCAATTATATCTGTTTGTCAATATTTGTTTTCACCTGGGTGTCATATAGCTTCAATCATCAGGTCAATCTCATTCAAAATGTTTTTTAATTTAATTCAATTGCCACTTCATTCAATCAACCAAATCCATAAATCAAAATTTCTATCATAGTAAACAGATTGACAAGTGTGACACTTGTCTTTCCCATGATCAATTAGCTGCTTTAGAGATTTAAATTAAAAAATAATTGTTATTCTAGGATACTCCTTAATATAACAAAAATGTTCAATTCAAGTTGCATTTTAGAGACACTATTAAGTTATAAACTAATAGACAAATAATAAATAAAAACATAAATAGTATTATTTTTTATTTGTTTATGAAAGATTGATAATTGTGGAAATAGAGATATATAAAGGTTAAGGAATTTCAGAATGAAGCAGAGTAGGGCATATATTAAATAATTTTTTTATTGAAACTGTTCTATGAAAAGGGATATGCAAATTGGTATGTTAAGATGTATTTGGCAGTGTATAGAAGAATGCAGCGTGAGGGATTAAGGAATGTATAGTGATTTTTTTTTTCCTTCAGGATTGGAATATGAAGAAATCAAGAAGTTCATGTCATCAGAAATTAAGACATCAACTCACTTGGATATCAATCTTGATATGTCATAATGTCTCATATATGACTTTTATTATTTATGTGTATATAGTCTATTTTCATATAATTATTGTTGAGCCTATCATGGTTGAGAATATTGGGATGAACGTTCTGGATTGTCCCGTTCGGTTCAGCATGCATTAGATTTCATGACAGTCTCTAGACATGAATCTTGAATTTCCCTCTGGTTAGTATGAGGTCGTGTCAATCCTGGTAGTTAGTAGTTGGCGGTCGCAATGAGGACCGAAAGGCTGGAAGGTACCTTTAGGATAAGTTTAGTCTTTTTACTGTTTCTTTATTTAATTTGAATTAAACATAAATCCATCTATACCAGTGTGTAAAAATACTTTGAAATAAATAAAACTCCTCAATATTTTTCTGGTGTAGCTAAACATAGATGATGAATATAATGTATTTAATGATTTATGTTTTTTAAAGGTATTGAGGAAGCTGATGTTGTTCTTCTAATCGGTACTAATCCTCGATTTGAAGCTCCTTTAGTTAATTCCAGAATCCGAAAGGCTTGGGTGCATAATGAACTTGAAGTAGGACTCATAGGTCCTTGTGTTAATCTTACCTATTCATTTGATGTAAGTATACATAATTTTTATAGAATTGTTATTTTATATATTTTTTACTTTAGTTGAAGTTAAATGTTTCCCGGTTAGTCATTCTGTCAACTGAAAGGCTCATATAATAAAAATATTTATTAAAGGACCTTATGGTGAACAAAACGAAACCTGGACTAAGCATTTATTTTTTCTATAATAACAAATAAATAAATGAAAATAAAGATAAGTTAAAGATAAAGATTAATAAAACAATGTTGAAATATTGAATAAAATAAATTATAATTATCTCTTAAGTACTTGTTCCTAAATTAATCAATCTAATTTAATTCTAAAACTAACAAAATATCATTAATATTTAAAGTAGAATTTATATAAAACAAAAAACAAAGGTTAAATCACTTCACTTGGCCCTACGCAAGTGACGGTCAGTAGAAATGGTCGAACAGCTGGCAAGTCATGTCTTCTTTTAGTGACTTCATATAAATAGTTTATGAGCTCTCATATTTTTTTGTAAAACTGCAAAAAAATGGGCAGTAAACAAGTAGTCCGCTGTTAAGGACTGTGGCAGAGCTCATTAACAAATTCAATGGGCAGTACAGCAATTGGCAACTCTTAGCATCCAGTAAAGGACTGAGGCAAACTAACTAGTTTACGTAAAGTTCACAGGCTTAACACTTAAAACTTAGCATTTGTTAACATATAAGGCTTTAAGACACTTATAATAGGCACTATAATGCACACCACTACAATCGAGCCTAGAAACAATGACTAACTGTACATTACCAATTAAAGCAGCTGTTTTCGTTTTTTCTTTTTTGTTGTTTTTATTTTTAAATTAAAATATTGTATTAAAAATAAATATTTAAACTGTAAAACTAAATGAAAATAAAACAAAACAAATGCAATTATTAAAATAATAAATTAATCAACACTGTGAGCGTTAACAATAGGGATTGAATAAAAGTGGTCTGAGTATGGTTCACACAATTATATACTTACAATTAAAAGATTTAGTACTTTAATTTTTATGTTTTAAAAGTTGTATTGTACCGCACTCACGAATCTACAATTTCCCAGCACCTTGGAGAAGACCCTAACGTCATTGAGGAAGTCCTCAGCGGAAAGCACCCCTTCGCAAAGAAGTTGCTGAATGCAAAAAAACCGCTGATTATTTTGGGCTCCCAGCAGTTGGAACGAAATGATGGAGTAGCTATACTCAGTAAGGTGCAGCAAATGGCCAAGCACTTGTCCTCGAAGGTATGGCCATTGGATAGAATTGTTTTATTGAAGATGAGTATTCTGACTGATTTATTTTGCTAAAAATATGTCTTGTTCTAGATTGGTAGTGAATGGAAAGTTCTTAACATCTTGCAGCAAGTAGCATCACAGGTAAGCTTATTATCTATGAAAATAATTTAATATTGATGTTTCTAGTGTTAAATTACATTATATGTTAAATTGCCCAAAACAACATTTCTATGAAAAACACATTATGAAAGATCAAATTTTTGTAACAGAGTATTGTTACTTAATGTAGCATTGAATCTTTAATATACATAAGTATATTCATATTGTGATTTTGTTGACTCTCTAGTCTAATCACTTGCTTGGCTTATTTTATCTTCTTATTTAATAATCTCTTCTACCTGCAGGGATATTGTTTTAAGCAGATTCCTTTAGAAATCAGTCTAATCTTTATTTTTTCAAATGTTATACATATCTGGAAACATTTCAGATGCTCCTTTAAAAGATAATTTAATTGCCTTCAAATCTAAATCAAAATAAAAAATTTAATGAAATAAAATAAGTTATTCGAAGTAATATTAATGATGGTAAAGCATACAATTGTGTTGCAGAGTTGTCTGAGTGGACATGCCAGAAGATTCTTTTGTAATAGCTAGCTAATAGTTTCATTATTATTAACTGAACTCAAAAGTTATAAATTATTTTTAATTGGTAGTTGGTTGACTGTCGTGGATAATGAAGAGAAGAATAGTTGGGGTGGTCAGTCAAAAAGGAAGGCAAAAATAAATGTTAATATTTATTTTTTACATATGCCGACGTTTCGACCTGAAGTTCAGGCCTTCATCAGGGCTAAGAAAATAACCAGATAACAAGGTATGAGAAACATAAGTAATGATGGTAAAAAAGATAATAAAAAATAAAAAAATTAGAAAAAATAAAATAGATAAATATAAAGTAAAATGAAATTGTTAGAATAATGACTAAGAGCTAAGAGATAAATAATAAAAACCGTTACAAAGTGTGGAATGATGAAGTAGGCATAATCAAAAAGGGTGACAAAAGTGTTACAATGCGAATCTTAGAATAAAATGTAAAACATAAAAAAGAAATATGAAGTTATATAAGTAATGAAAATAAATAGTAAAATTAAAACATTGAGAATGGAGTAGTTAGATAGAAAATTGAGATATTGTAAAGTCTATCAAGATGTACAGACAATGTATAATATAATACAGAGTTAAAAACAGAGAAAAGGAATGAAAGGAAGGAGGGAAGAAATTGAGAAAGCTGAAATAAAAAAGAATTTTATTTCTTACTTTTATTTCTTTCTTTCTTTACTTTTATTTTTATTCTTTCTTTACTTTTATTTCTTTCTTATTTCAGCTTTCTCAATTTCTTCCCTCCTTCCTTTCATTCCTTTCCTCTGTTTTTAACTCTGTATTATATTATACATTGTCTGTACATCTTGATAGACTTTACAATATCTCAATTTTCTATCTAACTACTCCATTCTCAATGTTTTAATTTTACTATTTATTTTCATTACTTATATAACTTCATATTTCTTTTTTATGTTTTACATTTTATTCTAAGATTCGACATTGTAACACTTTTGTCACCCTTTTTGATTATGCCTACTTCATCATTCCACACTTTGTAACGGTTTTTATTATTTATCTCTTAGCTCTTAGTCATTATTCTAACAATTTCATTTTACTTTATATTTATCTATTTTATTTTTTCTAATTTTTTTATTTTTTATTATCTTTTTTACCATCATTACTTATGTTTCTCATACCTTGTTATCTGGTTATTTTCTTAGCCCTGATGAAGGCCTGAACTTCAGATCGAAACGTCGGCATATGTAAAAAATAAATATTAACATTTATTTTTGCCTTCCTTTTTGACTGACCACCCCAACTATTCTTCTCTTCATTATTAATTATTTTATTATGATGAAATTATAAAAAGGTATTTTTTTTGTTTTTTTTTTATCAAAAAGAAGAGAAACTTTTATTTTAAAAGGATTCTTGCAAAATTATCTGTTGAATTCAACATAATTCTAAAAATATTATTACTTTTTCACAGAATATTTATTTATTCAATTAATTAAGGATGAATCCTCTGATGAATGTGGTTTGCCTAATTTATTATGTTCTTATTAGTTTTTGGCCATTTTCATATTAGGTTGCTGCTTTGGATCTAGGCTACAAAGCTGGAGTTGAGAGTTTGAAGGAATGTCCCCCCAAAGTACTGTTCCTCTTAGGAGCCGATGAATGTGCAATAACCAGGGATGATCTACCTCAATCGACTACTGTAATTTATCTGGGTAATCATTGATTCAATCAAATTAGTCTTTTCTTTGTTTATTTGAGCCAAATATGCTTACGGAATATTCAGTTTATTTATTTATTTTTTTGCAAAATTTGTGATGTTAGTATTGCAGTTCAGAATATTGTATATTGGATAAGTCTATCTATACAAATAAAAACAAAAACAAACAGAGGCAGTTATTGATTTTGCTTTGTTTAAAATTTAGAAGACTAGTACAAGTTCAAGGTAAACTGTTGACAAATAATTATCTTATTATTATAATGAAATAGTCATTATCAATTAATTATGTGTTGCTTATTTTGTTTAATCTGTCTTAACATTTTTATTTATCAAAGCATTGATATGTTCCGTTTCACTTTTATAACATCTAATATTATTATTGTTCAATATTAATATTGTCCTTATTTTTAGCTGAATATGTTTTCAAAAATTTGAGAAAAAAAAATATATATATGTTACTTCTAATGATCCCTCTGCAAAATTATTATTTTCAATTTTTTTGTTAAGGCAACTCAGCGAAAAACTGTCAAATCTCCTTTGACTATTAAATATTTATTTTTTAAAAATATTATTATTTCATTTTTTAGGAAGTCACGGTGACAATGGAGCTTCAATGGCTGATATTGTTCTACCAGCGGCTGCCTATACTGAAAAACAGGCAACTTATGTTAATACTGAGGGTCGAGCTCAACAAACACTCGTTGCCGTCACCCCTCCTGGAATGGCAAGAGAGGACTGGAAAATTATCAGAGCTATTTCCGAGGTATCAAACTGTTCTTTTATTTTTAACACTTATTGAATCGAAGATGATTTTTTAAGCTTAGTCAAGACTTGATCAGTTGAGTAGAGTGATGTCTTAAAAATCAAATTCTGATATTGTTCCCAATAGCACTATCTGTCTGAAATTTCATGTAGAATACACCCAAAAAATGGTAAAATTATCATGAATGTGAACATTTAAAAAAAAAAAATGAAGGAAATTGAAAACTTAATTGACCAAAGAGATTAAATTTTAGCTAGTGTAATAATTGATTAATACTACTAAAAAAATAGGTATCCATTACCAATATCTTTGTTCGAATAGTTTAAACAGGTGGAATCTAAAAACAAAATTATTTTTTAAAGTTTTCAGTTTATTATCTCCAGTTGACCGCAGGAGATGAGCTCATTGCAAGATCTACATCGAATCTTCTGTCATTTTTAATAATATCTATCTTCAGTTAGTAGCAGTGAATTATGTAAACACATCTTCGATTTCTTTCAAAAACCAAAAGGGTGCAGATATATCAAAATGATCGATAAATTGAAGACTGTCCTACAAAGTTTAGCTTTAAAGTACCTCCATCGTCCTCGGCTTTTCTTGTTAAACTGGAGTGAAGAGAATTTGGGAGAGTGATGTCATCTAGTATTAATTTATTAATGATAGTAGAGTATCAGTATACCTCAGATATAGTCCGTGGCACAGAAATCTTTTTATCGAATTATTAACATCCGGCTGAAGCTTCGTAAATAGCTTCATCTCATCGTAACCTACAAATATTTTATTTACGAAAATTCTCGGAATTTGGAGGTCGCCAAACTTTGTCTATTTCATTTGCTACTAAAAACTCTTGAATGTCCATTTGATTTCCACTTTGATCATAAAATAATTTGATTACAAAATCGATAAAAAAAAGGTTGCCTACAAAAATATTGAGCCGTTTGGCCTTTATAACCTCTTTATTTTGATAATTTGGGGGTGTAGGTCATGCCAAACGGCTCAATATTTTTGAAGGCCACGTTTTTTCCTGATTTTGTGCTGAAGTTATCTTACGATTCAAGTGGTTAGCAAATGGGTATTAACTAGTTTTTAGTACCTAATTAAATAAAATAAGTTTGTCGAATTGCAGATTGCAAACGCCCCAATTCTGAGAATTTTTGTAAATAATTGATGCTACACGTTATGTTTATTTTCATATATAGGCTACATATAGATGCATACATACTTTTATAATTTACAGGTAGTTGGTAAAAAACTTCCTTATGACACCCTGAATGAAATAAGAGGCAGATTAGAACAGGTATCACCCAACCTGACCAGGTATGGTGAGGCTGAAGAAGCAAATTTTTATGATCAAGCTGTAGAGCTGTCTAAGGTCAGTCATAATTTATGATAAATTACTATGAGTAATCATGGAATGTTTTAATAATGTGTGCACTTTAATTTTTAGGAAGCTTGTAATAAGTTAGACTGTGAACCATTAGAAGTAAAGTATAAAGACCTGGAAGACTATTATATGACAGACCCCATTAGCAGGGCATCTACCACTATGGCGAAATGCGTACAGGCTGTGCGTAAGCAGAAGGAGTCTAAATATTATGACTCTGGAACTGCTTAAATCTTTCTATTGCCATATCTCATGGAAACATGTTAGACATGTAGAATCCTCCACATAGCTCGAAAAATACTCACCGCTACTTGCCCTACCTTTTCGAAGAAAAAAAAAAACATTCAGATGTACACAGTACTTCATTTTGAGAAAGAGAAACTCATGATTGTGTATTTTAAGGTTAGGCTTGTTCATACGTAATTCGAGCTAGTTCGAAGTGTGGGAATATGTATATTTATTGTTTTGTTTCTATTTCTTCAGCTTTTTTTTTTCCTTTTTTTTTTTACTACTTAGTTCCATTGTATTTATTTTAATTACAAGATGATTTTAAACTTAAATTGTTTTCTTTATAATTTCTTTTTTCTTTTATAGGGCCTTATTGACTGGCTCTATTGTAAATGTTTTAATATAATGTTATTTTATTCTTGTAAGATATGTTATGAATAAATGCTGTGTATATTTCTAATTAATTATATTACATATGTACTACACCTTTATATCAGTTCAGAAATTACATCATGATTAAGATATTATTATATTGATTGAAATGTTTCTTCATCACATGGATTTTTTATGAGAAATTCCTTGTTTAACCTCCATCTACTCAGCTCATAGGAATCATATACTTCTTGAAAAGTACATAAGCACACCTAATTGTTTTCTCTGAAAATTAGAAAATAAATAAAACTGCTAAAGACTAATCACTGAAAAAAATAACACAATTTGACATTTCTCATCAGAATAGATATGACTAATATCTAAATGCATCTTGACTAACTTTTAAGTATAAACTTAAAAATGTTCAAGCTAACTCCTACTTTAATTATGATTAGGTTTAGAAATGGAGAAGACATATTTCTACTTTACTTGGGTGAAAAGTTATATTTATTTTGGAATAAATGGAATTGGATATGATTAATAACACACTAAGATAAAGATATTATTTAAAAATATTGTTTAAATGTTTGCAGTAAATAAAAAACTATGTTGATCAAATTAACTAATATTTCTAATAAATTAGTAAATATATTTTATAATATGAAAGCAGATGATCAGAAATCATTTCTTGGCTGGTTGCAGAAGCTGTAAATTGCCTTGTGCTGACTTTGTAGAGACCCTTGGTGGAATCGTCATGAAATTTTCTCTTGAAGAAATAACAAGTCCTTTAATTTCTCTAATTGTCTCCAATTTCTTCATGAATGTGACTTAGATATTAAGCCTCGTTGTGCCAGGTTTACATTCCTTCCAGTAGTCAATTTCCAAACGCATCAGTTTCTCACTCATTGTTTGCGCAGCGATCTCATTTCGTACCTGTATGGATTCTATACACGTTTGAACTGCATAGCTGTGATAGGTGTTGATTTTGCGGCGCCAGTAATAATAATGAAGTAAAAGCAGTTTTTCTAGCATTAGAACTTAAAAAAGTCTAAACTGCAAAACGTGGTCCTCATTGACTCACAAGCTGTAATAATTGCCAGTTTAGATCCTTCCTGCTGTTCCACAAATCAAATTAGTATGTGCCAGGAATTGATTGAGGAGCTGATTTTAAAAGGCACAGATATCGTTCTACAGTGGATACCAGGACCCTGTGGTTGGACAGGTAATAAAAATAAAATGCTGACCGATTAGCAAAAGAAGGTACAGGAAAAGATCAGCCAGATATCCCAATCCCTTTCTTGACGGCAAAGAAGCTAATAAAAACAGTAATCATCGAAGAACTGGAAACAGCAGTTGTTAGAGGAGAAGCAATGGGCTTCATTACTAGAAGAGAATGGAAGAGTACCTGTGGATCTCCCTAGAAGTGCACAGTTAAGGATGAACCGGACATGACTATTTACAAAGCCATCTTTGCAGATAGTCATGTCCACTGTGTCGACAAGGATTCATGACTGATCTGCATCTACTGACTTGTCCTGGACTACAGAACGTTAGAAACAATGCCAGGACAGAAGGTGAAATTTACTGGGCTGCTAGACGTCGCATGGCTGAAAGAGCCCAAGACGATTAAAGCCTAAGATGAAAAAAAAAAAATCATTTGTTGCATCTTAAATAGTTACTATACGAGCTGGTTCCTACGATGAATTACTCTGATTAATATGCACATTTAATGTAGACAAAATGAGATCTGCAGTAATCCAGCATGCAGGACACATATCACTCCAAACCTCAATCTGAAAAATTGTTCCTTAAAAGCTAGCCCCATTTTGGTCATAGACTCCTGATTTCATTTATCATGGTTATGCTACCCTAAAGATAGTTTACCAACGCTTAAGATTTTTATTGATCCACGTTTTGGAATTCACTGGTTGATCTTGTTTGGCTCTGAAAGGAGCCTACTTTCATCAGTTTGTGTCTGAACTTATGGCAAAAGAGACATCCCTTCTGCTAGAACCTTCAAACCTTCACCATTTCCTGAAGTTCTGATGACTCCTCCCAAAGTCATACGCTGGAATTTAATTCCAGAGTGCATTAGCTATTTCATTGGGACAGAATTGCCGCGGGGTTTTAAATATATGGAGTACGATCCACGATATGAATTCAATATGAACTATTAATTCGTAATCTGTTAATCATTCATTTAATTTTTCTATGTCAATGAGCCCTAAAGTTTGTGGGACCCTAGACATCTACACATTCCACCGCTGCGACCATTATTGTTTAACAAGTCCTATCTGAGTCCATAATGCCTGAAAACCCAGTTATGAGATAAATAGGTTCTTTCTACTGACTTCTTCAGGTGAATCTTCCATTAACCTTGCCAATGGCCCTACATAGTTTGGTATATTTAATTTTATAATATGTAAGTAGATATTCCAAATAAAAGTTCAAGAATCTTATATCATTCATAGAGAAATGTAGAAACTATTCTATATTTTATATTATAAGAGTATATTTGGATACCATTGTCCAAATATTACTCCACTTCGTTCATACGGCCAAGATCCCCATTCACGGTATAAATGGAATTCTGAGAAAAGCCGAAGTTAACTCGTTCACTGCATAATCTCCCTTTGTTTTGATCTCGATTTACGACTTACTGGTCTTATTCAGTTAAAATCGAGAGCTTAATCAGTTTTAACTACATCACTGCTTTCGACTTCCGCTCGCTTTAAAGGATAAACAAACCCTCAACGCGTCCTCTTCTTTTGAGGTCGGGGAGGAGGAGGGGTTACCAGACTGCTGTCACTTCCGTCCATTCTCGGGATTCCATTTATGGTGTGATCATGCGATCTTGTGCCACCCATGAAAGTGGAGTGACATTTGTGAAGTTTTTTGGATCAGAAGTGATTTGAAGAAATCTCTCTAGATTTATAAAAGTAGTTTAGGATGAATTAACATTAATCAGTTTATTACATTTCTTCTAAAGTTTATTTTAGTTATGCCTAAAATATTTTAATGTGAATATGTCATATGACTTTTTTTTTTTTTTTAATAAACAATGTATGTATAAAACATTTATTAATCGTTGTTGAATCTATTTATTTAGTAAACTTTTTACAAATGTTCAGGATTTTGAAATACCTAAACCAAATCAAGGACGGTTCATCTCAATTCCAACGATTTTCAATACTTCGATATAGAACTTACGCAACGGATCAGCCTCCTTCAAATGGGAATGATGGCCAAAATCCCGGAAATGAGTCCGTGGAAGACGTCCAGCAACGTCTATTTTCGGGTGAACCACTCCACTTGAGGGTGGATCAAATTCCTCCTCTTGATAATCCTGAAGTAAGCGATTTTTCTATCGATGAAGAGGTAGAGGAAGTAACGAAACACCAGACAGAGGATGAAATGGAAGGAATACTGGAAGGTCTGTACACCAATGAGCCAATGCACTTTCGCGTCGACCAAATACAAAGAGACGCTGATGAGATTCAGATGATGAGTAATCAGATGGATCATGAGAAAACGCAGGAGGCATCTAACGAAGGAATAGCTACAGTGTCTGAATCGCCCTTGAAAGAGAGGGAGAAGAGGTCAGAACGCTATTTTCCAAAGTTGGTAAGAGCTTTTCAATTTCATTTTTAGAAAACTATAATCATTCCTATCCGTGAAACATCTTTCTTCCTATGGACGTTAGTTTTATTAGACCAACTCACTTTGGGACGAGACCTCGTTCAAGATGTTCTTTGTTTCCAAAATTGTGTTCTTTTCAATTGCTTCTAACTCACCCTTATAACAAGTCAAACGCGTTTTTCTTTAACAATAGTAACCTTGAAATTCATTTCATTTCAAAAGTCATTTTACATTTGTTTCACTTAATTAATTGGGATAACAGTTCGTGTTATTCTGCTTGTGTATGTTCAATTTAAATCTAATACATAATTTGACGATTTTTGTGTTATCATGGTAACCTACAAGATTAAAAAGTGGGTATAGAGTTGCTATGGTTTGTTGTATAACAATAATTAATGGTTTGATGTATATTAAAAATTATTTGTTGATAATTATTATATCGTAACTGTAACTTAATCGGAAGTTACAGTTACAAGAAGAAAATAAATTCTTTATATCTAACTATGTTTTTTAATATATATTTTATAATTTTTGTTTATTTCTCTTTATGATATATGTAAACTTTTCTGATTTTTAAATTTAAAAAAATATACTCCTTAGTTTAACAAAAATAAAACATATTATGGTCTTACCCATTTCTGTCTTACAACTCATAAAACGCTCTTAATTGATTTTTGGAGAAAAATACATAAATAATTATTTATAGCATGAATAGCTTTAATTTCAACGAAATTTTTATTTCTCTCTTCCTCATTTCAGGTGAGTTAATGAATGAAAATAATAAAAACAAAAAAAAAAATATATTTTTGGTGGTTGTTTCCTTTTTACGACTTCCGATTCATATGGAACTAGAGATTACTATACTTTAAATAATTATTATAATTTTATTTATAATACTTCTATGATCTGAAAACTATTTATTTTACTTTAGAGGATATGCATTCAATATTTATTAAGTTTGCCGACTTTTCGATTCAATCGTATGGGTCATCATCAGGCCAATGCTTTAAAGGCAAGACTTTTCTCGAAATACTTGTGATAGAGTGTACTTACTCAAAGACCATCATGAGGGGTCGAAACGTCGACAAACTTAATAACTATTGCCTGCATATTCTGATTACTATACATCCTTATAATTTATTTTACTGTTTCTTTTATGGATCATATTAATAAATACTCTCAAATACAATTTTTTTTTAGCTCATTTTATATCGTTTCTGTGAAATTAAATGTTGGAACATTAGGTTTCCCCGCTGTGTAGAGGAATTGCACTGAAATTTATATTAAATTCACTCCTTATTGACTCATGTCCTTTGATTCCTCTAACCAGAAAAATCCAACATCATTTTCTGCGCCTTTCCTTTCGTTGATTCGGTGAAGATATCGCCCTGTCTCGCGGTGGATGTGGGGATCGATACACTTTTTATCCTGCAACGTATTTATTCATTCGGAACGTGTAAAACAGCAACCCTTAGGTAATTACCGTTTTAAGCTATGAAATGAACTTCAGTCATTTCGAAACCGTGAATTTCAAGTCAGAAATTTGTATTTAAGTCATCTTTGTAAAAAATCAGAATGTGTTCCAAAAAATGGAGTAATTTTTATTTTGAGAAATGTTATATGTGATGATCACCAAGTTTTTTATTCTTTCGGAACATTTGTTATTAGTTTTGCAAGGGTGATTGAAGCCCACCAACAATTTCAAATTCAAAATGTTCAATGTCGGGGATTCGCCATCCTTAAACTTCTTAAGTTTCACGAGAAGTCGTTACCGTGAGTTACTTCAATAATTCTCTCAATCAAAATCCAGGTTGGACTAGTTATTTTATTGAATCTCAAATTTCTTCTCCCCCATAATATGTCGCGTCTCCTAATTGTTATTAACCTTACAAAGTCTACTGTTGTTTCATCCAGTTGGTTATTTAATTATGGTTTAATAATAATTGTATATTTCCGCGACAGTTGTCCTTTTTAAAGTAATCTCTTCTGATGTCGATTATTAAGGTCATTTACAGAGGATTTTATATCGAAATCCTCCTCTTTCTCGTTTTGCTGTAAACCAATTTCCTGCAAGCAGTTCTCATCAATTTAGCTGATTAAGTCTGTCTATACCAGTTGGTGTGATTTAGAAAATTTACCTGTTTACTTTAATATCTTCCGGAATGAGAACTAGTACACAATAGTGGAGCTTTAGAAATTATCATTTTATAATTTAAATAAATAAACTTTATTTTAATTCTACAGAAAAAACCTCCCCGAGCCTCGATCCTGAACGAACTTAAGGTAGAGACTGTGATCCGAAGCTACTGGTCCAGAGGTCACCTTGCTGCTCTAATCGATCCTCTATACATCTCGAGGCAACGCATGTTCCGTCCGGAGTTTCCATCTAGGAGAGTCCTTCGGCAACATAGGGTCCCCGTGGACAGGGAAACCTTATACCATCTTTTACCTGATGATGCCACAACTCTGGGTATGTATTCCATTTTTATTCTTTCGACCTATGTTTACAGGTTGACAATAAATGAATTGCTACAAAATTTCCTACGTTAAGAAAGGTTTAATAAATGTAGAACAGGGATGGTTGGTTATTGAAAAGTGATTATGTAACACTTAAATTTATCAATCTGCAAATTCTAAATTAATATTTATGGTTTTCATTGGAAGAGTACAAACAAATTCTGAAGTTTTTAAAATATATGTAAATAACTAGCTAGTCAATCAAGGTTAAAAAAAAAAAAAAAAAAAAAAAACATCCATGCAAACCAAAAATAACACATAAACGGGTAAATTTTAACTCAAGGAAAAATAGGAAATTTCCTCAATTAGTTTATATATTATTTTTTCAATCTGTCATATTGTTTTAAGCTGTTAAAATGATGTGTGCTATCTCTGTACTGTTATGGTCTTCAGTCCTAGCGAGGACCAATAGCGGATCCAGGATTTAATTTTGGGGGAGGGATTTTAGCCCGAAAGATTTTTTTCGTCATATACATATAACGATAATTAATTTGAAAAAAAAAAGAAAGAAATTAACTACCTATATGAAATGGTGTTTAAGTGGTTCTTGAAGTCTTATTAAATGTAATTACATGAACAAGAATACTTTAAGAGATAGTTTTCAATATTTTTTTCTGTAAAACATGGTTATATTTTACCATTTGGGGGGGGGGGCTTCAGCCCGAAAGCCCCCTTCCCCCCGTAAATCCACCTGTGGCAAGGACATACATGTTGTAACAAGCCATACAAAACTTTTCGGGGTAGCGTATAGGCTGATTATGTAAACTTATCTTAAACCTGAACTCTACTATAGTTTTTAAAATTAGATTATTATCGATAGTGAATAAATATTTAGTTCGAATTCTCCAGGTGGTGGATACAGCAGGACCAAGCTGGGAGAACTGATGAAGAGATTGAACGAGGCTTACTGTAGCACTATTGGTGTTGAATTTAGTTACGTGCACGATCAAGAAGCTAAATATTGGATCAGGGACAGAATTGAAAATACAGAACTGAGGTGATTGAGGAGAAGTCATGTTTTTAAGTACCTTTATTTAGAAATAATAAATTGGTTAACTTGAAAATTAACATGGTGAAGAACGTAACGGGGGATAGCATATTGCCTAGATGAAAGTCTTTGATAGCGAATATGTTCTGTAGTTATTAGCGTTATGTTATAAAAGAATAGTGTACAGCATTATGTGGGCGGGGTGGCCGAATGGGCTAAAGAGTGTGCACAGCACCGCCGTTGCCTGGCAACCTGACATTTGAATGTAATGATATAAAAATAGTCACGAGTTCGCGTCCCGGTGCCGAGGGAGTCTTTTAAAATCCCCGCCCACACTCCCTGGCCCGGGAAAACCCCGTATAGCCTTAACGGCGAGGAAGGGGAGGACCCAAAAAAAAAAAAAAAGCATTATGTTTTTCACGACGATGCATCGAGATAATTGTTGGAGTTCGTTTTTATTAGTTTTGGTATATTAATAAACAGTTTGGGATGTAGTAGATTATTCATTATTAACTGATATCACGTATTTTATCAAATGGACTAGAGGTTTCCAAACACGTCTGCGTGCTGGATCTAATTTATTTATTTATTTATTATATATCTAATATCTAATATGCCTTGATCCAGCCTGCGAAAGTTTCTCTGACTACACCGTAAATTTTTTTTAAATATAAACTTAAGTAAATCACGCAAACACAAGGCTACTACAACTTTTATTGCATAATTGTTTCTCTTATAATAATAAAAAAATTCTGTACCACTACAATTAGTGTTGCCCAAAATCGGACCAAGACCAAGGCCGCTTAACTGTTGCAAGACCAAGACTAGGAATGGTAAAAAAAATCAATTATTTTAATAAAAATTAATTCAAAAAATTTACTAATACTTGACAATCTTAGTTACTGTATGTTAATAATTGATATAACTAATATACTTTTGCATTCAATTTCTCTAATTTTTCATTCGGGCTTAGTTAGATTTCTCCTATCTAAAAAAATAGAGTTATATCTATATAGTAATAAGCTAATAAGTAACTGCAAGACTATAGCGAGAGTCTTGCGCAAGACCAATACCATGACCAAGACTGAGTTTGCAAGACCAAGACTCGTCTCGGTCTCGCATTTGGGCAACACTAACTACAACCCATGAAGTTTCTTGTGTGGAGTACTTTGTAACGAAGTATTATTTCAAGGCCAATGATTTTGTTGGGAGGATCGGGCCAGGATCATACCCAACAAAAATCTTTTCCTTCTTAATTAATTACTTAATTAAGAGTATCTAATTTATGGAGGTTGGGTGTGCCCCTGTCCAGGAGTGTCTCGGATCGATCCACGGCTTATGAAAAAAAAAAAAAAAATACAGGCAACGAATTATTATTCTGTTTCATCCAAGATCCAAGATCCTGGAGTCGAATCAGGCTAATACCAATGAGATTTGGCTCCGGGATCTTGAGCTAATGAGGGGAGATGGAGAAGGACAGCAAACTAATATTTTTTTAGTTTTTTGAGAATATCTCAGAAACAATGAGGTTTTCCACAAAGATTGTTAAGTAAAATATTAAAAGTGGGTGGGATGGTCGTATGGGCTAACGTGTATGCATAGTACCGCCGTTGCCCTGCAACCTGATACATGAGATCAAAATAGTCACGAGTTCGCGTCCGTGGTGCCGGGGGAGTATTTTAAGCTCCCGCCCTCACTCTCTGGCCCGGGAAAACCCCGTATAGCCCTAAAGGCGAGGAAGAGGAGCCAACAGAAAAAAAAAAAGTAAAATATTAAAGCACTTTAAAATCTCCATAAAAATGATCCTATACATTTTTTTATAAAATCAATGGTTACGGTGGAGATATTTATGAGATTATATTTATTGTATTTCCACTTTGAACAAAAATTGCCTCAAACAACGAAATTAATGTCGATCATAGTACACGATACTTTTTTGGAAGTTTAATTAGTTTTTTTAACATTTGTTCAAATTATTATTCAAAGTTTCTTTCTTTTAATGATTATAAAAAGTCATTGACAACAGAATTATATTTGATATCAATCACTGGGGGATATCATGATAATGATATGAAGTTTAAATTGACATTGTCTTATAGAGTTTTGACTACTGATGCCTGTGACACACATTGGATGCTCCCTGCAAAATAGTAAATGCACAACTAGTGAAAAACTTATTTTTCTGTAGACTGTTTTTAAACTTAAACTGCTTTTTCGGACAACTACATTATCAATATACATTTCGACATATCGATTCGATCTCAATACTTACCTAGTATAGGCAGGAAAATAAAAATACGTGACATAGAAGTTCAAGACTTTGAGAAGACATTGAATTTCAAAGTCAAAAACTTCGATATATCGCTATTTCCCTTCATTACAAGCCATAACCTGCGAAACTTAGTGGATGTCCCAAAGAGGTCCACAGTCCAAAAAACGTTTGGAGATCCCTGATATAGATATTCCTTTATGTTTTGAACAGGTTCATGCACAGAGATCAGCTAAGATATTGCATTGAACACATGATAAGGACTGAAACATTTTCCGAATTCTTGAAAGATAAAGTCCCTAAAGAGCAGGTGAGGTACATACCTCTCGGTTCGGAAACGTCTCTGCTTGCTGTGGACCTTTTAGTAGAAAGAGCCTTAAAGAAACACAATGCAAGGGAATTTATACTAGGTAAGATTTCTCGTAAATAGCTAACTCGATGACCGTTGGTTAACTAGAACTGTTTCAGGGATGAGAAGGCTCGGTAGAGTCAATATCCTAGCGAATGTGTTCAATTTGGATCCCGTTCTGGTCTACTCACTCGTTCAATCTGACATCGGAAGGAGTAGAGACGGTTCTTGCCTCGGTATTGACGCTGTCGTAAGATATTTATTATTATATATAATCATTACAACTGTCCGACTTTACGTACTTACTAGATCTGATGAAGTAGAGCCATTCCTCGTTTTTAAGAGGAGTCAAGAAGAGGATGATCCTTATGTCGTGCTGTGCCATTCCGCAGAACTTTTATCCACTAACTTTGGGATTCACCAAAGCTATACAGATGCGACAAAATGATGAATTCGGAGATAAGGTATGCCAGTAGTGGTATAGAAATTTACAATCTTATGTGATCTGATTTGATGTTTTATTTAATAACGGTTAACAGGTTTGGCCGATCGTAATTCACGTTGCAAGGGGTCTTGCATCGCAGGGGATTGTTTACGAGACTTTGAAGTTGAACAACGTCAAGAATTATGAAACGTTTGGAACAATACATCTTATATTCAACAATCAGGTTAGTGGCAATATATATACACACACACACACATATATGTATTTATATATATATATATATATATATATATATATTATTTTAGCTTTTATGCGATATAATTATCTTCCATAAAAGAATCATGTTCTGCGAAAATATTCTTCAAATTATTTTATATTTTTAAAATATAAAAAGCTAAACTGGTTTCCAGTGAAACATCTGTAGAATACTTCATAAAATAAAAGTGTTTAAAAATAAACTTGAATGCAAAGCCAAATACCATATATCCTTCCTATTACTGGTCCGATTTATTTTTTTGTTTTGTTTAAAATTTGTAGAAACATTAAATGACTTTCAAGTGATAATATAATTAAACTTCAAGATGTTTATATTGTTTTATAATCAAGTAAAAGAAAATAAATAAAATTTACTATATAACAGATAGACTCTATAAATTATTCCTGAAATATTGAAAAATACCTTTAAATTCAGTCTCAAGTTTATTTTATCATTACTAGGAACTTACTGTGCATTGCACCATATCTATCCGTTCAAATCTACAATGACTGGCAAAAAATTCCACCCACTTAATTTTTTCATGTTTTCATCTAAAAATATTTCTGCTTTGGATTGGTCAATTGTTTTTAATGAATAAATAGGTAATCTTTTTGTTTGTTTTCAATTAGGAATGTTAATATAGAGGACAATAACCCTTAATCCTTAATTCAATGAAATGATTCTAGATTCCAATTTTTCAAGATTCCAAAACGAACCATTATTATTCTATAAGAAATTAATTACATCATCATTTTGTAGCGCGTGTTTCCTCCTCTTGCCTTCACTACCTCTTGAAGACGGCTCAGCATACTTTCCACCAGTCGGGAAGTGTCCCTTTGCTGGGTAGCCCATTCTTCCTGAAGAGCCCTTTCAAGGTCCTGCAGTGTATCAGGAAGTGTTGCACGCGCTCTTATTCGTCTTCCGAAGTTATCCTGTAAATGCTTAATGGGATTCAAATCTGGAGAACGTGCTGGCCAGGCTAAAACCTCAATATTGTTCTGTTGCGTGCATTAGAGTAAAATGATCGCTGATTTCGTTGAGGATAGGCAACACATGAGGTTCCAAAATCTCATCTACATAGCGAATGGCCGTCAAAGACCCTCCTCGAACAATAACCAATTTCGTGCGGAATTGTGCTCCATTGAAATCCCAGCCCACACCATTAAGGAACCACGTTGGAAAGTTTGGCTCTGGGAAAAATTACAGGCTGCATATTTTTCGTTTCTTCATCTCCACACGCCGTTTCTTCTTCTTTCACGCCCGTCTGGAGATCGAAGAGAATCGAAGAATCTTGACTCATCTGTAAAAAGTACAGCACTCCATTCGTCCATAGTCCAATGGCTGTGTTACTCTGTGAGTTCTGGTCAAATCTGGTATTCTTACTGGACGAAAAGCTATTAATCCATACTCATTTAATCTTCTCCGAGCGGTACGTTCAGAAATTTGCACACCTCTAACTTCTTCGAGCTGATGAATCGCTTGAACAACGGTAAGGTGCCGGTTTCGTAAAATTCTCAAAGTCAAAAACCAGTCATCCCCTGGTTCTGTTATCCTAGGCCGTCCAGAACCAGGACTTCTATTGTAAGAACCAGTTTCCCGAAAACGCCTGACGGCGTCTCGTAAAGTTTCATATGGAACTCCGATGGCATTAGCTGCATATCTAATGGAACGTACATCATCAATTAGTGCTACACCACGCGCAACATCCTCAGCACTAAAAGGCATTTTTAAATTTAATATTGAAAAAATTAAAAGCCGGAGACTAAGAAATATGCTGCAAGAAACGGCACGGAACTAATGATACTGAATAAACATTTTGATTTCAAAGAAAGTAAACATTGGAATCTAGAATCATTTCATTGTTTAAGGATTAAGGGTTATTGTCCTCTATATTAGCATTCCTAATTGAAAACAAACAAAAAGATTACCTATTTATTCATTAAAAACAATTGACCAATCCAAAGCTGAAATATTTTTAGATGAAAACATGAAAAAATCAAGTGGGTGGAATTTTTTGCCAGATTATTCATATCATCTTCATGATTGGGGTAGTTGCATCCACGCGTCAGCCCAGTTATTCAGAATTAAGAATGATGCAACTAATTTTCTTACACAGATGGAACAGACTATCAAACGTGAGATGCACATGACCCTGGAGTACTGCACCGACACCTTGCGCACCCTCAACATCCCCATCTTCCACGTCAACGGGGACGACTTGGTGGCAGTCCACTTCATTATGCGATTGGCGGCTGACTTCCGCGCGCAGTTCCGTCGGTATGTATTGATGACAACCTCAATTTTAACCTTTGAGCTGGAACGTCGAAGTTTAATGTTCTTCTTTCAGGGATGTTGCTGTCGATATCGTTTCCTACAGTCGGTTCATGACCCAAAGAGCTGCAACCAAGTACGAGTTTATTCAGGTACAGCAAGCCATAATGCACACCGAACCAGTAGTGCATAAATACATCCGGGAACTAATCAATGAAGGCGTAAGATATTTTTAATCTTTTACAATTGTAGACCCTATCCTTAAGGGATAATATTAAGTGTCTAGTAAATAAAAATGTAGTAAAACACTTTTTTTTTTCATATTGTATCACATAATCCACCTGCTTAAATAAATTTAAATCGATCTTTAATTTAATATAATTGAATCCATATTCTTATCCTATATATTATTTCTAAAACGTGTTTTTTTGTTGATACGCCATAACTTCGTCAATTCTTCATCAAATACAATGATTGACCACTCATTGAAGGACACTATGTCAATGTTTTTTTATTTAATAATTTAGTAACTAAGAAATCAATTTTAGTAGCTCAAAGTTCTAGAAAATTGGCTCTCCGCACAAATATTAAAATGTGACATGATGTTTTTTACCACCGGGATACAGTTATTTATTTATTATTATTTATATTTTAATTTATCTTACATCTTGCAATTTTTTATTCGCTTATTAGATTTTATTTATTTTCGGATAACATATATTTTGTTTTCATATCTTTTTATAATAATTTTAAATATTTTTTTGTTGTTATCTTACCTTTCCTAGGCCCTGTTGAATACCTGAACCATAGGGCCGAAACGTCGACACAAAATAAAATATAGTTTTTGTATTTTCATTTGTGTTTATCCACTGACCACAATCCCCAACTAACTTTTCAATCATATTTCCACCTTTATGTTCTCGGTTCTTTATTACCCATATCTTTTCAAATAAGTAGAAGCATCAATTTAGAATTTAAAATGATTAACAAATATAAACAAATTCTTCTACTCTGACGGTGTAAACATGGAAATAAACTGGTATCTCATTCCAAGAATCATGTGATTCTTTATCAATGTTTAGATTCGTCATCTACATAAAATTTAAATAATTGTGCATTTCTTTACTCGCCTTTAAATTTAAACTATCCTATCAGTCTAGCCTGGTATGTACACACCGGGGTTTCAATTGGAGAAAACAATTAAATTAACAACATACTATAGATTTTAGTTTGTGTGGAAGTAGATACAAGGTGTTCTAATCCCTCCTCTCCCCTCCCAAGATATTTTATTGGTCGTCTGTTACTAAAAACACTGCAAGCAAAAGTAGGATTAGAAAAATCGTAGATCATGTACTCATTTGCTTTAGTCAGTTTCACGTATACCCCTTGTTCTCTATTTTGAATCTTTTCGTTTCAATAATTCACAACCCCGTCAAAATATGTCCTCAAATATTTAGAACTCAGTCAAAACATACCGCTCAAATATTTTGATTTTGATTGGGCACCTCAGCGCCCACTGACAAGCAGACTTGCGGAGCGCAAGGACTCAGGTTCGAATCCGGCTAATGAATATTATTTTTCCATCAGTCCTGGGCCGATCCTGGGACCGTGAGATTTTCCTGGGGTGAACCCAGCTTATATAAAATGGGTAATCTTAATTAAATAATTAATTAAGGGGAAAAATCTGGCGGTTGATCGTGATATTGAACCGTCATCTCCCTGCATAACCGTTGGCCTTGTAACAGTACTTCCTCACATTGTACTGAACCCAAGACCCTTTATGAGTTGTTAGTGGTACAGGTTAATAATAATAGTATCGTTCATAACAATTGAAAAAATCAAAATGCGCGACTTATAATTTGGTTATCACATGAACTAAACGTGATAAGTATTCCATGATACTCATGACCGGGCATACAACTTACGATATGCCTGTTACATAAACTTCACAGTTATCCTTTCCGATTTACCTGTGCAGGTTTTCCTTACAGGTATATCATAAGATATATCATTATAAGGTAAGCCACTTACCTACCAAATGTTTTAGTACTTTAATATCTTCAGTGCTGGAACCACGCTCTAATGATGACCCACATGTTTGGATTGAAACGTCGGCATTAATAAAAACCTTATAATGACTGCGTCCTGAATATTTATCACCCATGATAAGTAGACTAACTTCCTTAAAAAAAAGTTAAAATTATTCATCTATTCACTAAAACCTAAAATTCTCACTTCTTTTTAAAAGTCTTATACGGTTTGCGCATCTCATAACTTTCCCTAATTGATTTACTTTAAGTAGAAATTAAATTGGGCTAACTAATTTTAAATTATTTAAATCAATTATCGGGTCTAGTGTTATTAAACTATAATAATTACCAAATATACTTCTCACTTCTCTTAATCCGTTAGGTTTAGACTTTTCTTCTCTCCCCATTAACTTCTACGACTTTATGTGTTAAATAGTAATGTTGATAAAGTATTTAGCTTTCCAATTGCATAATATAGAATACTTCTTTGTAACTATTGTACTAACAATTGAAGTCGACTGCTCTACCTACCATGGGAGATAAATATTCAGAACGCAGTTGTTTTTTTTTTAATTTTATTTATGCCAACATGTGGGTCATCTTCAGGGCGTGGTTTGAGCACTGAGGGTGTTGAAGTACAGTACTTTAATAAATAAAAAAATAAAAAAAGACTCCGTCCTGAATATTTATCATCCATAGTATACTAACAGTGGTAAGGGATACATTATTAAACATAAACAAAATAAAAACTATTTTAAAGGAATCCATTTTATAAAATTCTGCACTCAACTAGGTTCAACTATCGATGAGTTTGTTCTGTTTGAGGAATTTAAAAAAGTATAAAAATAGTTTTAATAAAATCTTACTTTCGGTCAGTCGATTTCAGCGAAAAAGTAGCTATAATATCCCAGGAATATATTCAAAACACTACCACAAATAAACAGAACTCTTTGCATGACTTGGTTATTTGGACACAGTAAATGTTAAAACGTGTATTAACGTTGCAAATTTCTATATAGGACTTTTTTTTACGATCTTTCTTTTAATTTATGCTTAATATATTTGTAAATGAAAGTATAAAAAAAAAAAAAAATTGGGATTCTTTGATTTCTTCATATTTACAATATTTTTTTATTTACTAATATATTTGGATGGTTAATTCCTGCTGCTCATAACCGATCTGCTATCAGCTTGTCCAATATGCTTGATCAAAGTAATTACAATGATGATTATGTAAGTGGTTGATCAATGTTTGAGTCCTTTTGTTATCAAACGTTAGGTAACAACCAATGAACTGATACCGTGTTCTAGGGGATCGGCCTATGGAAATAAAAGATACAATGTGTACACGATGTCTACAAACATTTGGATAAAAACGTTCACAAGATAAGGAGTACAAATTTGTCGATTGCGTTTTTCTAAACAATGGAAAAACCATTTGAATTGGTCCTATCAGTATTGAAGATTGGAAAGCTGGATGGAAAAAAAAAATTCTTAGTCTTGGTGAGGAAATGATTAAACACGGATTTTTTTACTTGGAACCCCTATTTTCTCGTTTGATATTATTTAAATTATTTGATAAATGAGTGAAAATATTGTTTTGATACTAGGCGTTTTCAACTTCTGAAAATGTTTTAGTCCGTGTAACATTTTTATAAAGCTTTAATAAAAAAAAGTTGTGTACAAGAACTTTTGTTTTCATCTGTTGGCATCACATACTCTGGCTATTTCTTTCTAATTATCTGCACGTAGCTCTTTGTTGATTCTACCTATCCATCTGCTTTATGGCCTCCCACGTTGTCTTTTGCCGTCTATTGAGGCATTCATTGCAAACGTAGATACTTTCAGATGGATTCCTACGAGCTACATGTCCCACCCACCTTATCCTCCGTGCCTTTATATCATGAGATATTGCTTGACCAGTCTCGGTAAGCAGTTCTTTATTAGTCTTCCTTCGCCATGTGTTATTACTCTGATCGCAGATCACTCCGGTTATCTTGCGGAGGATTTTTCTCTCAAATCTTTTAATACGTTTTTCTAGGTGCTGGTTAGTGCCAGCTCTCACTGCCATATTAGAACTGGCTTCATCATAGCATTGCACACCCTTAATTTGAGATTTTTCGGGATTTCAATACGTTTGAAAGCGAGATCTCTGCTCTAGTTGCACGCTGGTCTATTTCCGACCGTTGGTCATTCATAGAGGTTATAGAGGTTCTTCGAAGATCATGTTATCCTGGGATGGAATTTTCGGCTTATTATCAATGTTTTTTTTTTTTTTGTCTTCATTAACTTGTAGGCAGATCTGCTTTACCTCTCTTATCAGAGTCTTAGCGAGTTTCCCAATGTCCTCTTCATTACTTCCGAGGACATCTGCGTATCCAAGGATTTTACGATTCATTCCTCCACCTTCTTCCTTACCTTCTCCAGGGCTAAGTTGAAAAACATCGGTGACATCCCATCTCCCTGCCTTAAGACCGTACGAACTTTAAAGGCTTCAGATACTACCTACAGTTACTACCCCCCGTTTAATCATGATTTTCTATAGACAGTTCATGTCCACAGAATCATTGGCTGTTTTGAAATATCGATTTCAAAGCAGCCAATGATTCAAAGCAAGTTCGATATATAGGGCGTGGACGTCCTGAGCTACTTCCCATCGTTTTTATGAAGATCTGATCTAGCGTGCTCCTTCCTTTTCTTAATCCAGCTTGGTTATTATTATTATATAATAATAACTATTATTATTATTTTATTAAAATCTTACATATGCGAGAGCAAAGTAAGCGTCTGTAGTTGTAATTACCATTGGCGTAGGTAGGTTTTAGCCTAAAAAATAACCTAGAATATAATTATTTTACTTGCATGGTGCCTTAAAATAATAATAATAATTAGTATCAAACGTTTTTTTTTTTTTTTAACTTTTACTTGGTGGTACTGATATTATAGTGTATCACACTCCTGTGTGATACACTATCACACATACAAATTCATTTCATCAATATTTCGATACTGTTCCCAGAAAATGTTGGTAAGAAAAAAACTAAGAAAAATATGTTATTGAAATGTATTATTGTAAAACGACTTAAAAATTTGTTCTCCCATCGCAAACCCAAATACCAATTATCAAATTCTTATTTATTTATCTTGAAAGTGAGAATGATAATCGCCTGTATATATGTATACTAAATGAACGCCTAATAGTTGATTATTATTTATAATTGACAATGACGTACCTATGCCATATGGGATCCGAGGCGGATTTATTTTTAAAACTTTTAAAATAAAATAAATTAAAATAAAATAAAACAGACAATTCATTATCAAGAAATAAGTTCTCAATATTTTTATTTTGCAATTAAGTTACCGTTCAGTAATTAAAAAAAATAGCCTTTGTCATAACGCCCTCTTAGTTAGTTTGCCCAAGGCGAACTGTCTCCCAGTCATTCAGCACGTCTCTCGCACTCGTTGCATTCTTCAATAAACATTTTTTTTCTGATTTTAAATCCTGTATTTACACTTTACGTTTTCGAGAAAGCGTTATCAAACATTTTTTGTAAGATTTAGAACTTAAATATAAATGTAGTCTTAAGATAAGTGAGAATATGGAAAAACAATTTAATCCATTCTACGAATAATTCACTGTAGTAAATTAGTCATGAAAAAATGTTTCCATATTTACGTAATATTTAAACGGTGCATTGTCATTGCGTACAGATCAGATACGAAAACATTTCCCGCAATTACGAATTCTTAAAATAATTTCATTTTATGAGATCAACTTATCTAATTTAATAACTGTAATCCATTTTCCTCACAAAACGAATAAGTTATAAACTTATTTTTAGACGGAATCGTTGGCAAAGCTGACATTTATATTGTCCCATCTCAGGTATTCAGCATCGATATTTTCCTTTTATCCGGTTCTGATCCTCTAAGAATTTTTTCTTTTATTGGTCTAATTCTAATCTTAAAGTATCACATCAGTCTGAAAAACTAGTAAGCTGTTTATATACCAGATAAGCTGATTAATATAACTATAATATATTAGAAACGTGTGCTTTCTCGTTTTCTGTTTAACCAGATTCGCACAGATATATGCACTAGCTATTACTGGTCACGTTGTGGTGAACCTCGTTAAACAGAAAACGAGAAAGCACACGTTTCTAATATATATACATATATATATATTCTTTTCTTTTTTTTTTCCGCGCTATAGACCAGGCAGATCTTTGACAGCGAGTGTGGTCTCCTAGACCACATCCCGATTTCCGATTTAAAGTACGGGGTAGGGGCATCAATTCTACGCCCGGTCGGTGTGAGTTGCCTCCAGTAGTCTGACGGGCCTCGCATACCCGGTGGGAGGGGAGGGGGAGGAATCTCGGGCAGCGTGGCTTTCCTTGGTGGACGGTCACCCATCCAAGTGCAACCACTCTCGGCGTTGCTTAACTTTGATTACATATTGCAAGCGCCTTAGCCCGCAGGGCTACCCCAGCCCCCATATATATGTGTATGTGTATATATATACACACACATACACATATATGCGTATGTATACCCTCCTTCCAAACAATTTTATTGCTTTTCTCTTCTTAAAAACATTAGAAGCGAAAGTATAATTAAAATATTGTATATTGTATATAATCAATTACTCTTACTGTTCCATGGTTTTCCCTTCTTCCGTGGTTTTGAAGTTTTTACTTTTTAAAACTTTCATATGGAATTTTAACATTCCATAAAATATGGTTCCTTCCGAAAATTCCTAACTCCGTAATTAGGTGCCCTCCTGAAAAATTTAAAACGCTTTAAAAATGTGCTGTCTTCAATAATTTTTATGGCACAATCCGCTCCATCCAACCCACTCCTAGACACCCCTACGTGATAAATCAATATATGGGTCTTTAAATCAATTTTTTACATGGTTTGGTTTAAAAAAATATTTGGTAAAAGTAATTAGGTTTTTTTTTGGAAGCGATGTGATTAAAATAAGCCTTGCACAACCCTCCAGAAAAAATATCTCGATGTAAAGTTGAAAACATCACAAGAATACACCGTCCGTTTCCTGTTTAACCATATCCTCGCATATATACGCACTAACTATTCCTGGTCATGTTGTGGTGGTCATGTTAGTGTCCCCAAAGAGTTGATGTTTTTTTTTTTTATTTTATTGAGTATTTAAAATTAATATTATTATAAATAGAACTTCTATTAGAGAAAATTTGAGAAAGATTAGGAACTGCAATAGGACTGTATTTCGAAGTATCAATAATTTTTTAGTTACCCTTCTGTAAGTGAAAATAAGGAGAAGCTGAGTGTAAAGAAGAAAATAAGTTTCCTCCAATATTTGGTGAACAAAAATCGTCGTGAGAGTTATCGGCTCTGCTGGCAACAACATTGTATGTCACAATACTTATTCATCACGAGCGTTATCTGTATATTTTTTAACGTGATTATTCCAATATAGTTTATTATATCTAATATTCCAGATTGAATTTTCACTGAAAAAGTTGGACTTTGTTTTCTAAAAAAAAAAAGTGCAAGATTCAGAAAATCCAAATAGTCATATCTAGAATGACCTATCTATCGTTTGCAGATGTACATAAATCACGAAGAAATATTTTTCTTATGCTATTAGAAACAGACAAATACTTCATTACATAAAACAATTATTTTTTTTTTTTAACAATTCGACAAAAAAAATTATATTAAACTTTTTTCATAAGTCCTAAGGGAGATGCCTTTTATCTGTGGTATATAAATAAAAATTAAGTAACAGCTTTACTCTTCCAACAATTTTTCTTTATTTTACGTTTTTATGACGTTTCGGGATCACTTTATTATCCCATCTTCCATCATATTATTTTTTTGAAAATATTTGTCATATTTTTTTTTTTATTATATTTTCATAATTCATCATCCCTTAATTATATTGTGGACTCCTCTAGGGAGAGAAACTGATCAGGGCCTGACTAGGCACTCCCTAGAGGAGTCCACAATATAATTAAGGGAAGAATTATGAAAATATGATAAAAAAAAAAAATATGACAAATATTTAAAAAAAAAATAAGATGATGGAATATGGGATAATAAAGTGATCCCGAAGCGTCATAAAAACATAAAAATAAAGATAAAATAATTGGGAGACTAAAGCTGTTACTTAATTTTTATTTATCAATCTCCGCTGGCTTTCAATGCCAGTGAAATGGTTGAGGAAGAAGCGCAGGGATCTCCTAAAGCCTTGCTTTCCCTCCACGTGTGGGGGGATAAGTATGGTTCGGTGTTCCTATGGCCGACTGTAAATAGTGTAATAGGTATGCCTGCGTCTAAGATGTTTAATTTCATTTTTTTTTTCTCACTATGATATTTTATTTTGTTCTTTTGTAGCTTTATATTATTTGAAGTTAGCTTATTTATTTATATTTTTTAATTTATAAATATGGTGTGAATGTGCTCTCAGAACTCTATTGTAAATGTCCTTTATTGAGACAGATTGTAATATTTATCAATAAACCATTATAAATGCAAAAAAAAAAATTTTTATTTATATTTTAAATTTGTTTATGGAGGCCTAGAAGATGATCAATGTTTTTTAGGTCATTACCCAATCTGAGGTGGATATTTGGCGCAAAAATTCACTCGGATCTTATGCGGATGCTTGGCAAAAAGCAGCTAAAATGAGTACAGGAGACATTGACAGGAATATATGGCACTCGCAATTGTTTCTCGATCAAATTCGAAAAGATATAAAGGTACGATTACTATTTAGAGGAAACAATAGTATATTTGTTGATCTCTTGATATAAATTTGGATTCCGATTCCATTCGAAAATTCTTTTGCTCCTTTTAGGTTTTCTTTATTTTTTAAAATTATTTGTCTGTTCCAATAAATACTAAATAGTAACATTTAACTGAGTCGTTTATTTCTGTACTGAATTCTAATCATCATTGACAAATTTTCAGGAAACGCCAAATCTATATTTTCTGTTATAATTGTGATATAAAAACCAATATTTAGACAGAAAATAAATTTATAAATTCTTTATTTGTGACACATAATACCGATATTTTTTTAAATTATTAAAATTGTGCTATAAAAATTAAACATTTTCTTTACAGTAGTGGTGCTATAATATAAATTTATTTTAAATTTCCATTCGAATGAAGAGGTAAAACAAGTTTTTTATAAATTATGTTTTAAAAAATACTTAAGAAATACAAGTAACATTATGTACGTTGAAAAAAAAAACTATTTTCAGTTACAAACTAATTTTCACACCACTTTTTTTTATACTTAGGTTTGTTTATTATCGAAAAAAAAATTATTATCGAATTCATTGGGCGTTTTCACTTAGAAATCGATACTCATTACGGTAAATATTAGATAAAATTAAAAAAATAATAATAAATTAGCCATCACTTTGAAAATAAGGTACTCAAATAGTTACTTATGTATGTTTTAAATGTTTATTGTTCTAAATGAAAATGTTATTTTGCAGAAATTAGAAAAACTGGATAAGGCAACAGGAATTGACCGTAGTATCCTAAAAAAAATTTGCGATAAATTCTCCACAGTTCCTGACTCAATTAAATTGAGCCCCAAGCACCTTGGTTTACTCAAGAGACGTAGGTACCTGATAGAAAATGACAAACTGGACTGGGTCATATGCGAAGCGTTAGCTTATGGATCTCTTCTTCTGGTAAATTAAAAACATATATATTTATTATTATATTAGTAAATAATTTAATGAAAATAATTGTTAATTATTTAGATTTATAGAAATTGCTATGTATCTTAGAGGCTGATATATAAATTAAAATATTTAATATAAAGTCTAAAATATTTTAATACCAGAGACACAAGTTGCTTAGGTGAGCGACAGATATCCAATGGAAATTTAACTCCAATCTAGTATATCAAAACAGGGGTCTGTGTTATCTAGCCTTTTAATACATAATTAATATATTTTAAGTAGATTGGTTTCTTTCTGGAACAGATTGAAATACAAATATGATTATTAAATAGATATAAACGCTATCACTGGAACCACCTACTCGCTTTAGAAAAGCGATGAGCCAAATACGGAGCTGTGAAAACAAGATTAAAGAAACGTCTGCCAAGTAAGGTCAATATAGCTTCCTCACGGTTTTCATTTATTCAACAATATCTATATTTCAATGTCTACAATTTTTCGTGCGAGAATAAAATATTCGGAAGAAGCCGTTTTCGGAAATGCAGTAATCCTTCAACAATCGCGAATTTTATTAAAGAATTTTGTTCATCAGCGATTACTAAAACAAGGAAGAGTTCCACATTTGTAAATTTCGTATTTGTTGAATCGTGATTAAAAAAAAAAAATCCAGTTTTTAAGGTTTAATATATTATTAATATGTTATTAAGGTCTTATATATTACTAACATCGATATATCTTTGGTACAAACATATTTGTTTGTTTGATTTTTTACATCCATCCCACTTTGCTGCAATTTAAGAAATATGTATGCCTTGTTTTGACAAGTAATTGTAATTCTGAAGATATATTGTGAATTTTGAACCGTCAAGAACTATTCATAGAAAAATATATGAAACAGGAAGCTTTATTATTGCTAGCTCTGTGGCTGTAGTGCCCTCATTCAGTCTCCACTGGCTTCTAATGCTAGCTGGAAGAGTGGCTCTAGGATCTCCTGAAGTCCTGCTTTACCTTCCACATGTGGGGGGAAAAGCCTGGCTCGGAGATTCCTCGGCGAATGTATATATGTATAGGTATGAATGTGTTTAGCAGTTTTTATTTTCTTTTATTTCTTTAATTTTTCTTATTTCTTTACTTTTTCTTATTTCTTTACTTTTTTTTTGCACAGAATGAGAGAATGTATTTGCGGATACCAGACAACATCTCGTTATAACGCTTTTTGGAATGACTTATTAATTTTTAAATATACTTTGAAAAATGGGAATGAATTTATGTTTTTTTGGTTTTAGGAAGGTAATTTTGTGAGAATAAGCGGTATGGACGTCAACAGACGACTCCATATTCTCGAAGAAGCCACGGCTGGCGGACAATCCTATGATCTTCTCAACAATCTAGATTATCAACAAGCAAAATATATTCATTGTAAAAGCACAACGTCGCAATATGCAACAGCAGGTACTTTATTTTTTTAATTTATGACTTATATCTGTTACAATATTAAACCTAATATAATATTAAACCTAGACTTACCTAAGAAATGGTTATCGTGCTAACCTGCTATCTGCTCCTACAACAGATAGTCAAATACTAAGATGTGGTATACCAGTCTTAAGTTCAGTTTCTTGGGCTCTCAAGCAGCTCTGGAACGTACAACGCGCCTTTTGGCCATAATTTTATAAAAGATGAAACTGCTCTAGTTACGTATTCGTTATCAATGGGACCATTTTCCCATACGGCAGAGTTACTATCTCTTTTCTTACTTCAATTGAAAACTAGTTATGACATGATAGCAGAAAAACTTGCGGTTCTAAACGATGGGAATGGACATAAAATCACGTTTGGTGAAAACCTTTCCATTAATGTACTTATGTAGTTTTTATGGAATTATTAAAATGTATTATGAAACCGGAACATTATCCTCAAAAAAAAAAATATATGTATATATATCTGTAATAGTATAGTACGGAGCATTATGACATATGGTTCAGATACTTGGACCTTAAAAAGCAACCTGAGGAGAAAACTTCTAGCCATAGAAATGGACTACTGGAGACGAGCGGCGGGAATATCCAGAATGGGTAAAGTGAGAAATATGACCATCAGAGAAAAGATGGAAGCTAAAAGAACCATTCTGGAAGAGATTGAGAAAAAACGCCTGAATTGGTATGGACTGTTGAAAAGAATGTCTGAAGGAAGACTACCCAAAGAAGTCCATTTATGGAAAACTAAGGAAAGAAGACGACGAGGAAGACCTGGGATAACGAAGTGGAGGAATCCATGATGGGTCTTCGGGAAGAGAGGGCTTTGGATACGACATAATGGAAAGAAGCCATCCAGTCCACTTTAGGTTGCGGAAACCTATTACTAGTGGAAACTCCAAATAAAAAAAATCTATTTTTTAAATATTTTCGAAACCGATTCTCTTGAAAGATTCTTAAACCAGGAGTGATTCTTTTTTGGAAACTTTATTCAGTCTTTATGGAAATACAAAATGGGCACTTCGAAATCCTCTAACATCCTCAAAGTTCAATCTTATTTAGGAAGTACCATTTTTTTTTTAACGTTAGTTCTATATAGCAAGTCTGCTACACAAGATTTGGACATCCAAATCGTATCAGTTACTGCAATAGAATAATATAAAGACTTCTAACAGAGACTGACTTATAGCATAAACCCATTAGCACAAACACTTAGTTCCCTTACTAACTCTTATATTTGACCCTAACAAATTTTAAAAAGGTACGTAAGATATTTTCGAACTTGAAAAACCTAACCTGAAATGTCTGGATTCGATCTTTGCAAAAAATACTCTGTAGATAGCAAATTTCAAGCCAGCTCAGTTTATCAAATATTTTGATCAACAGGCGCTAGCTGTGAACTTGGTTTTATACTTCCTGGCTCTGGTGTAGAAATAATACTCTCATTCAAATAAAAAAAAAATAATTTGACAAAAATTTTAGTATTCGATCGTCTAAAAAAAAGAAGTATTTTCTTAACTCTAGCTGCGGCAATTATTGACAAATCCAAAAATTGTTGTATACCATATTTTCTCAACAACAGGCATTAAATTTGATGTAGAATATGGGATTAGTTGCTCATATTCTATCTGTTTCAAACTGAATTTTGATTATCAGCTAACGAGTGCCCCTCGTATTGCCAGACAAATGCGGGGTACAGGTTTTAGGGCAGGAATATCGCATTACGCAAGGGGCAGACAGTTTGTGGATAGCCAACACTATTTCTGGAACATACCTAATAAGGTTTATACCTAATGAACTAGCATGTGAAATTTATAATTCTGATATGTTATAACACGATTATTTTAATTTCAGCTTTTGAATACGGTTATTCTTGTGCCACAACGAGAACTTTGGTGGTCTGGGAAGCTCCGGAAGGGGACAAAACTAGCAAAGCGCAAGTTGTCATTGACCACTACTTTGCTGGAGGATACTTAAAGTACAATTACCACAGCAACATTATCTTCCTCATACCTCACTATCATAGATGTAAGTGACTATTTTCAAACTATGTTTTAATCAAATTTTGAACTTATTGAATGTAACATAACTTTAGCCGACAACGGTTTCTCTAGGCGAGACCGTATCCAAAGTGTGCAACGGGCGACCGGAGAGGTTCCTCCAACTTGCCAACGACTGCGAAACAGCTACCGAGATAAATGTTAATAGACAGTTCGAGCAAACAAATATGATACTGACCAACGTGTCCACTCCCGCCAACTTCTTTCACGTCATCCGGAGGCAGTTAAGAATGGCGCACCGGCGACCTTTGGTCGTCTTCACGCCCAACCTTCTGATATCTAGCGCCGAGTGTAAAGCCCAGATGAAGCAACTCGAAACTGGTACTAAGTAAGTCATTTCACTAATGTTTGTCTTGTAAAGCTTGAATATTATGCACTCTCACAAAATACATAAAATGATTCAGTCGATAATTACAGTGGTCTACTATTAACATTAGTTATTACCTGAGAGCTAGACTGCCCTGAGGCTATTTTAATCTTGTCCGTTTTACATTATTCACTCAAACTCCCTGAAACTATTTGAAATATTAAAATAATAATTTCTGGAAAACTTGACGACATATTGGTTACTGAACTATTCTGACACCAGTAACGGATGAGTACCAGACAGTTATAAGAGTTGTGCAAGATTCCTATTTTTTTTTATAAAATGTCTTGTTCTATTGGAGCAAGAGGCAGCAATTGAATAGCACATTATTTTTGGAAATGGTCAGCAATAGTTATTATCTCGGCGCAATAACTCGTTGCTGGGGTCGGGCCTCCGCCAACAACCTCGGGAGGATTTTCCGCTCGAACACAAGAGAATTCAAGAACTTGGTCCAAGTTACGAGCCCTAAATCTGTACTGGGAAATAGAATATGGTCGCCAAGCTGTTTTCTCAGGCTGTCTTAGATCTGGTTGAAAGAAATTATTTATCTTCTAATTTCTGCTTCCGTGCAGTTTTCATGTGTTACCATTGAGTCTAAAATTTGAAATTTTCAACGTCAACTCTCGGAAACTATTTTCCTTCTACGCAGACCTTGTTGTTGTGACGGATTTTTCAGTTTACTGTGATATATTTTGCTTTATCTTCACACCCATATATTTTGCTTTATCTTCACTCACTTGAAGCCAGATTTGCTTTGCTTCTCTTATCATAGTCTAAGCACCCTGCTACTTCCACGTGATGCCCTTATCACAAGACGAACAGCATTGCAACTTATGTTGCAAAAATTTATGTCCTATATAAGTAAACATAAACCTAACATAAAGCAAATTAAAAAAAAAAATCAACTTTTCTGATTGGCCAGGCCTGAGGGGCTAAGGGAGTGGCCTATGTTGCCCTTCTGGATGTTCTAGCACTGGGGAAAAATATTATATTTATTTATTCGCATTATGTGATGATTCTTGGGTAAACGTTGAATATTCGTTTCTTTTTATTTCTCTTGGTTAACCGATTCATAACTTCCAGTATGCACTCAGAACTAGTGAATGAAGGTGCTAGAACAATAACACACATATATATATATATATATTTAAACTTATTTATTGAAAAATATTACAATCTGTCTCTAGGACATTTATAATAGAGTTCACAGATCACATTCACACTCTATGTACAATAAATAAAATAAATTATACAGAAAAATAATATATATACAATAAATAAGAATAAAATTACCTAAAAATAAATAAATAAAAAGAACACATACACACCTATATACAATATTTACAATTTGGCGAGAGAACTCCAAACCAGACTTGTCCCTCCAACTGTGGAGGGAAAAGTATGACTCCAGGAGTTCCCTGCACTCCTCTCTCAACCGCGTCACTAGGGCTAAACCCAGTGGAGATTGAGCTAGAGTGCAATAACATATTAACTACAAAAATAGAACATCACAGGAATGAGGAAGAGAGTCACCCAGAAATACTTTAAATTTATATTAAGTTCCTTTATTCTATACCATTCTAGCTCCTATCCAGCCATCTACAAAAGTTGTCAATAATTCTGGTTTTGGCCATGTTTTGAATGGTTCTGTAGTAGGATAGATTTAGAAACATACAGTGAATCATTTAGTATAATGCTTAACATTATAATTCTGTGATCTAATATCATATATAAATCAGATAATTGTATTTTATTTTATATTATTCATAAAGTAGCTCCTTTCAACATATTATTTTAAAATTATACTCTGCGAAATAATTTCCGCGATTTTTTTAGGTTTCAGCCTTACTTCCCTGACCCTTCCATAAAGGACATTTTCAAGGTGAAGAAGATTTTGCTCTGCACCGGGAAAGTATATTACGACTTGAAGAACGAAAGGAAAAACAGAGGATTGGATGGAAAAATTGCGATTTGCAGGATTGAACAAATCTGTCCCCTTCCTTACCAGAAGATAAATGCTGATTTGCTGAGGTGACTATTCTCTGACGAATATTTATTTTATTACTTCAATGAAGCTTGAACAACCATTAATATTGAAATATTTGCAGGTATTATACGGCGAAGGTAGCGTGGGTCCAAGAAGAACCTCTCAACCAGGGTTGGTGGACTTATGTGGAGCACCGCCTCCTCAATCTGCCCTGTATAACGAGGTTAGAGTGCATCGCGAGGCCTCCTAGGGCGGACGGTGGATCCAGGTCTGTCCAGTCTTGTTTCGAAGAACATTCCCGTGTCATGGTCCGGGCTATGACACTCGAAAATAATTAAATGCATAAATCTTTTAAGATTTCATATATTTTTTGTACTCTTTTAACGATAGAATAAGTTCAGTAATTACGGTGAACGCACCAGTCATAGACAGGGAACCCAGTGATGGTCAGGTTGGACTTTAAATGTAAATAGTAAGGTTCCTGGTTGATTTAAAGATTCCAGTTTTTTTTCTATATTGAATAAAGATTGCCAACTGTATGAACGAAGTTCACAAATGAAAATTTTAAAATGACCATTGTTGTTTCTATAGTACTCTTGAGATCATCGTGTTTCATACCTTCCTACTGACAGTTTTTTTAGTAGTAAGTTGAACATTTATGCTATCTTATTTTTTAACTTAAATAATGATATTAGATTTTTTCTGAGGTATGTCCATTACTGGTGTCGACCCCCTGTCCATTACTAGAACAATTATATTTCGGGGTGTCCATCACTATAGCAAAGGTGTTTTTTTTTTAAACGAAGATTATAACTGCATTACTGCATATTTTTTCAATTTTAAAGTGTTAAATAGAAAAAAAGAGACTCTGAAAATTATATTTGTCCAACGGAGAAGTTTATAACTGTTATAATTACGGTGGCATAAGCCAAAAAAAGATAAAAATTTCCTATGTCCATTAGCTATGTCCATCACTGGAGTGCTTATCCTATACAACCGAAAAAATATCTGGTGTAACCACTCACACGTCTTACCTACCAATTTTAACCACTTATCAGAGTACGATCTCTTTAATGACTAAAGCAAAAACTAAAACATGAAACATTTGTCTATGCGCAAAAACACGTATTAAATACTCTTAAAATTCAATAAACTATAACTTCACTAAAACTGGTCAGATTTGAAGAATCATTTTTTAGTTTTGTCTGATATTTAATAACAATTCAAAATACGGGGACAATTTCATTCCTCAGAGGGCTCTGAAACGTACAGACTCGTTGAAAATCGCTCATCAGAAATTTGACCCAATTACTTTACAATTATTTTTATTTTACTTTATAGGGAATTTAATAATATTTCAAATGATTATATATAAATTTCACTGTAAAATGTATACTTTGTGAATTAGGCTCAAAAACATTTTTCTTTTTTTAACAGTTTTTTTTTTCTGAATTTTCACAACCTGCACAAAAATTGAAAGGACTTTAAGTATAAGATTATTGATAATTTTCATCAAAATCGTAAGAGCCGTTTTTGCGCTACATTCTATGAAAAAACACTTAGATAGAGCTGCACAACCTCTATTGCGCAGAAATCGACCGATTTGTATTCCATGCTTCGGTAGTGTGACATGGTTTAAGATAAGGTCCAGATAGTTTAATGATACCAACAGCAACAATTATATTTTCTTCTTATAAGAGAACATATGTTAATACCAACGCTGGGAGAAACAAAAAAAAATACATAAATAAAATCTCACTTTTTTCCAATTAACATTAATACATTTATAAGACAAGGTAAGGTACGGAGTGCTTCATTGGTGGTTTATAGACATACACTGACTTATCGTAAGCTTCTGTATCAAGCCTATAATTTCCCTATAGAGCGCAGCACCGGACGAACTAACTCCTAGCGGAAAACGTCGTTACAGTAGTCAAACACCTCCAAAAAAAAAAAAAAGAATCGGTTCGGTTCGTTCGTTTCTGAAATAATCTTGGTACACACAGACTAATAACTGAAAAATTGTTTTTCGGACTGAAGGGGCACTGAAAGATCCCTTAAAAACTGCACATCGCAAATTTGACCTGATTACAAGAACCTATTCTTACCAAGTAGCGGTAGAAAAAAAAAAAAAAAAAATCATCCTAAATCCAAGTTAACTTTCGCAGCTGTTAAACTCTTCCAAAAATAGTGTTGTTTAAAAATGTTACTTCAATTACAGAGCACCTTGGGTTCTGCAGAAACACAAACCTGCTTACAAGATAATTTTTGTGATATATTCAGTTTATTCCTCAGCTCATTCATAGCATACAATATTCTTTTCTTCTATTTCCAATGATTGGAACCTGCGTTTATGAGTTTCTTTCATGTCCTCTTCATCACTCTCTGAAATCACTACCTGTCTTAGGGTGGATCAACTGGGGCGGCGAACATAAGGGGCGCATTTTAACTTCAATGGGGTTCACCGCTTGTTAGAACTGAATAATACAAAACTATTAAAATAATTGATTTTAGTCTAACAATAAAGCAACTGTATTAGAGAAATGTCAAATGAAATAAAATTCAAATATTACATAATATAAAATAGCCAAAGAATAAATTAAATTTCATTATGAGGAGATGACATCATTGCCCGGGGGCGCTGAATGTCATGTAAGTCCGTCAATGTGGGAAATTCTTTTTTTTTTTTTTTCGAATATATTTTTCTATTTCTGCTTTCCAAGATCTTCCAAAAAAGGTTATTTTTTACATCTCATAATTTAAACAGATGTTCTCACAACCCCGTTCTTTCTCTTTTTACTTTCACTTACCTATATATGTAATATAGTAAGGGTAAGTATTGCGATCGTGAATATTTTTTAATCTGAGTTTTCAACGGAAATACACGTTTTGAGGTCTCCTGAGTCCAAATAACCAAGTCCCGAAAAATGGTCTGTGTGTCTGTGTGTGTGTATGTTAGCAGTCTAGCTCAAAAACGAAAGTCGTAAGAAACTGGTATTACGTATTTAAGATAGGTATATGCCTTAGATGTGACAGCACCTTCTTTCTTAAAATCGGTAACCGGAAGTGCCACTTTATATCAACGCTGAAACACATTTTTACAATTTTCTCAAAAACGGCTGTAACGGTTTTGATTAAACTCGGTGTATAATTGTATAATTAAGTGGTATTTAATATCAATCAGGTCTTGTCCCGGTTGATGTCACCTTACAGAGCTTAAATGCCCAATGTTCATATGCGTCTTCATCTAAAGTACCTTATGGTTTATTTTTATTTTAAATAATTAACTATCTCTCATTATTAAGGGTTACGAAAAAATGCTAAATATAGCTTTTGAAAGAATTTGATAATTGAATCAAGAAGAAAAAAATAAAAATGCTTATCACGGTCGAAAATAACACTCCTGAAATACAAGTCAGAAGGTATGCGTATAATATATCGTTGGAAAGCGGAGAATTTTAGAAAAAATAATATCTCATATATAAAGTTGAAGAAGGTAACGGAGAGAGGCGAAAAATTATAAATAATGATTTTTGAAAACTTATAGCATTTAACGTACATCACGTGTTTTTAAGAAAATTAAATGAAATTTACTAACTAAATGTAACCTTTTAAAATATTTTTAAGTTTGAAAAAAATATTTAAAATCCACCTAATCAATGCAATGAATGGCAGTGTTAAAAAAACTATTTCATTTTACTAGTGTGAAAGAAGAAGTAAAATATAAAATCATTTCATGGATGTATAAAGGATATGTTTATAACCTTAAATACATTTACTGTAGTTTAATAATTCTACATCTAATATTATATTTAAATAATTAGGTATCAACGTCCGTTTATTCCGAAATATTGTCAGGTAACATAAAAAAATAAAAAATTAAATTAGTGAATAATTCGATGATTCTGCCCTTTATGATATTCCAACAGTACCCAGTACTATTTCATTGTATTTGTGTGAAAGAAGAAGTAAAATATAATACTAATTCAGAGATACGTTTATAACCTTAAATAAATTTACTGTAGTTAAATAACTCTAGACCAGATATTATATTTAAATAGGTTAAATATTCCGGAAAATCATCATGTAACATTTTGGAAAATTAAATTAGTCAATAGTTTGATTTAATTTCCTTTTGTGATATTCCAACAGTATCCACTTAGAATCAGTGTGACAACTTTTGACTTGTCTATGACAGACAATGCAAATCTCTTGATTCCGTTTTAGTAAACTTTGCAATGGAAAATAACAGTTTTATAACTAATAGTCGTATAATTCATTATCAACGGATCGTACAATCCATAATAAACCGACGATATAATAAATAAAACTTTTGTTATTTTAATGGGGTTTATGATTTGTGAGCTGTAATCTTTTAGCTTTATCTCAGTTAAAAATGCAATTCAAAAATTTTATAATAGCACAACATGGCCAGAAAATAATTTCTATTGAAAGTTGAGCGGTAAGAGAAAGTTGTGTGTTTTTTTACCAGATTTTTTTACCACGATTGTATAAATTCGAAAAGTTGTTAATTTGTGTAAAAAAATTTAGTATATTTATAATAAAAACCGATTAGTATTTTTTTCGTTAGCTCTTATCGGTAACTTATGACCGATAAGGGTTAATAATATATGCTTAGGAGGAGAAAGTTTGAACATCTCCACGGAACAACTATAATTTATTTATTGATTATCTTTTTAATGTATATTTTTTTTATTGATGATATTTACAACTGTATTACAAGTAAAAATACATTCAGTAAATGTGAACAAAAGAATACAATAGCATGAAATCACTTGTTGATATACTACCCACTGGTAGCACTCCAAAAATGTATCTACAAAAGGAGATCTCGAGGCCATCTTCTTTTCAGACGCCTCGGAGGTTTGTCAGGGATCGAAAAGGAAGCAAGGTTAGAAACAAGAGGGTTAGGATGGTTCTGAAGTTTTTTTATGGAATGATAGGTATCTGGATTGGGCCAGGTCAGAAACATAAGGAACATTAAGGTCGTTATGGATGATTTTGTTTGTGACAAAGTAAGGAGCTGTGAGGATTTTACGAAGGATTTTGGATTGTAAGGATTGGATACGAGAGGAATTCGATGGCTTAGTGGAGCCCCAGAGCTCAATTTCGTAAGTCCAAATAGGTCTTATTGTAGTCATGTATACGAGTCTTTTGTAATTGACTGGGAGGTTAGAGTGTTTTTTAATATTAAAATAATCGTATCCCTCCACTCATCTTCAGTCTGCGCCTATGTCTGGGTGATATGAATTTTCAAAAATGAGGGGATGTGATTGCACAAATGACTTATTGACAAGTCCAATTCAATTTTTTCCAAGACAAATATTTTTTTCCGAGACAAATCAAACTTTTTACCAAGACCAATTAATTTTAAATTTAACTTTCGATTTATTTTATCTTTTCGAAAATTTTCTATGTAAGAGATAATCTGAAATAATTTCGAGATACTGCATCGAAAAAAATGTTAAATTAAATGGAAAGATTAATTTAAAATGGGAAAGGTATAATTTTTCTTCTTAATTGCTGAATTTGACTTGTAAAAAAATTGAATTTGTTTTGGAAAAGGTTTAATTTGCCAAGTAAATATTGTACACTCCTATCCTCCGACTCAGAGATGCATATATATCACCACGACAATTACTAATACATCCTATATCCGGGGTGCGACTTTATCAACAAATTTTGCGCATGCTTCCCGTTAATAATTGGAATTATCGATTTCGATCAAGGAAAAAAGAAAAAAGATGTTACATAAAAGCGTTGAAGTCGGAAAGGTAAAGTCTAGTGTCTCGTGACTCCTCGCGAGGAGTGATAATGAGTGATAAGGAGGCGGTGAACGAGCAGTAGTGCAGCGAGATGGTGACTGTGAAGGACTCCAAGGAAGCCATCGTCAAGAGGGACCGTCCGTCGAGGCTCAAGCTATATCTCTCGGTCTTCGCTGGTGAGGAATATGCATTAAGATCACCATTAACAATAATAATATTAAAAAATAATAATAATAACCTTTTCATAAATCGTTGTATTTAAATTTTCATTAAATTTCAAATTACATATTTTAAATTTTAATAATTTCAAATTATAAATTCTTTTTAAAACTTTTTGTAATACCTATGTATACCTAGATATAATTAACTAAATTTTATTTTTATTTTATTATTTTTGCATATTTAATGAAATATAGATGCAATTTCATATTTTGGTATGTAAAAAAAATATATATATCGCTTCTGTTAGTGAAAAAGGTCGTATATAAAAATTGAGTATTCTGCAGTAGAGCATAAGAACTGATTATTGCTTTATAATTTCATGTTTTATTTCCCTCTGGTATTTCCCATAGTAGCAGACTACTTAAAGCAGTTGGAGATTGAAGAATAAGTTTTTATAATTTCTCGTAATGCACTCACTTTTTACATACAACCTTTTGCACTAACTGAAGCGATATATATTAATGAAAACTAAAATTAAACATTCTATGATATTCCAGGATCATTGATACATTTTTATTGAAAATAAAAACGATCAGATCAATTTATTGACGCTACTTACAATTAATATCTTTTTGAGATCTGTTTTTTTTTAGTTTGATTTCTCGTCTTTTTATCACCTCTCCTTGTTCCTTTTAAATACCTCAGTCAGTTCTAAATTAATTTTTTTGATTAATATCATTACAATCGATAATATTTATTTTCATTTAAAATACCAAATTTGTGTATTATTTAATTCAAAATTAATCCTAGATCGACCCTTAAAATTCCGAAGATGAAACACTTTTTTTTTTATTTTGAAAACTAGTTTCAGTGTGATTGAAAACAACAAGCCGATAATTTTAAGTGCATATAAATTTACTCTTGCCAGGTCTGTCAATTTAGAAATGTGATTTATTAGTTGTAAAAATATTTTAATAATAGATTAGGTCTCGCATAAAAAAAATAGAAATGCAGCCTTAAGTAATTAATTTTAGCTTAAGCCATGCGTCAACAAATTAATTTGCGTTTTATCTAATTTATTCATTTTGGAAAGAAATTCATAGGTACAATCATTGCTAATTTTATTTTATATATAATTAGTAATATGTTTCTATTTATTTTATATTGTAGTTTTATAAAAAAGTATTGCCACTTTTTTTATTCATTTCCTATCATTTTTTTATACGTATTTATAGTATTATAAATACTTACTTCTTTATTATTATTATTATTATTATTATTATTAATTAGTTATCCATTTAAAAAAAAAATTTACTACTTTTCGTTTATTACCATTTTAAATTATATGGTTATTTATTTTTTATGTGTTTTATTACAAGTTAATTAGTCAATATGTAATTATTTATTTTTTTTTGTTTATGAAAAAATATTATAATAATGTTTGTTGAATTTCACACCAATTTCTTGAATTTCACACCAATTTCTTTCTTAGTTCTGAACTTTTTGTCTGCATCTTAATATATTTGAATATTTAAGCGGAATCATTGCATATTTATTTTCTTTAGTGTATACTTTGCTAAGTATTTTCAGTGTTTTATTGTATTTTGAGTATTTTTCTGCATATAAATACGGGCTCTGAATACAAAAATTGCTAATTCCTTAGCAATAATTTTCTAGTTTCTATTTTTAATTCTTTTTTTTGTTAATTATAAGAATAAAAATAAAATATTTAACAAAAAAAACGTAAAAGGGGGATACATTCCTTTATAATTAAATTATATTAACCTAACTTTGGTTTGAAGTGCATGCCAATTCGTTTGATTTCTGTGCATTTTATCCGTATATGAGTCTTTTATGTTATTTTAAGTCAAGAAATATCTGAACTAAGTATCGTACCTGTAAAGATATAGTTGAATTTTTTTTTTTTTAAAACCATATTACTATTGATATGTTTGAAATATTTTGCAAAATATAGACTGCATAGATATTTCAGTTTACGGCATTGAAGGTAAAAGTTTAACGTTTATTTATTTAAGACATTAAAAAAAAACCGTCAAATGAAAAACAAACAGTAATTGGACTTTGATTAGGGTTATAATTCGCCTTAAATGAATTACACATGATTCTAATGTATCGTATGTTTGAGTAGCAACGATAAAAGTACTTTTTTAAATAGACTTTTTAGCGAAATTAATATAAGATATAAATAAATGTTTATTAACAATAAGCCTTCTGTAAAATTTTTAGTTGAAAAGTTGCATGGGGGAAAGTTCAAGTTCCGAAATAACTAGACCGATTCCAATCATACCGAAACTGACTAAAAATAATAGGTAAAATTTCATATTAAGCCTATGAAGGAAACTAAATAAGATACCCTATAATTGAAAAAAAAAACAAAGAAATATACTGAAAATTTCTCTATTCTGTTTTGAGTTGAATAAGCTTTTGCCATAGGCAAAAAATATTACCATTCTAAACAAATCCATGTTTTCTGTTCAGAGAAACTTAGTTAGGGAAAGCGGGTTCGGTCGACATCATTATTATACCATTATATGATTAACTAATTCATTATTACGAATTAACTTCTAAATTATAGTATCTTAAATATTTTTTTACTATATGTACAATCTGTTGATTGTCTTACTTTCTCCATTACAAATAATGTTTTAGCCATTCTTATTTCTGTCTCTGCTTTCTTTAACTTTCCTGAGTCATAGATTTGTATTCAATATATTTTATTTTACAAAAATTAATTTTTTTTAAAATTATTTATTATGATATTTGCAACTGTATAAAAAACAAATCTGGTGCGCGCAACACACAACTTTCACTTACCGCTCTACTTTGGATAGAAACTATTTTCTGGCCTTGTTGGGCTATTATAAATTTTTTGAAGTGCATTTTAAACGGACCTTAAAGCTTAAAGCTTACAGATAACAAATCATTAAGACCATTAAAATTCCGAAAAATCTATTTATTTCATCGTCGGTAGGCAATAAAAATCTAGTTACTTCATCTGCTTTTATAAACCCCACAACTTCAGTCTTTGAGCCTTTCAGGTGACAGAATGACTAACTCCAATTCCAACATTCTTGAGTAAAGTCATTTTAGTGATCTTTCTAGTTGGAAAAGTTGTATCTGTACAGGCAGTGAGTAAGTTGATTTCAGAGTAGATGATTGCAGTGTTAAAATATAGAACTGTGAATAAAAGTATTTATTTTGCCATTAGAACCATCACTAAAATTAATAATGAAGAATGTTGAAATTGGAGTTAGTCATTCTGTCAACCAAAAGTCTCATACGCATATGCCTAGATAAATTTGAAAGTACATCTTAATATTTATAAATGATTATTGATTGTAGGACTGATTAGTTAATGAACTGTTATGTTTCATTGTAAAGTTTACTAAAATGATATTACGAGATTTTCATTGCCTGCCATGATTAGGTCAAAAATTGTCACACTGATCATAAGTTGATAATGTTGGGGTTTCACAAACGGAAAATTAATCAAATTATTCACTAATTTAATTTTCTAAAAGATTACTTGATGATTTTTTGAATAAATAAAATATCATCTCCAGAGTTATTAAACTACAGTAAATATATTTAAGGTTATAAACATATCTATGAAATATTTTTATATTTCACTTATTTCATGCAAGTACAATGAAATATTATTTTAAACAACAGCATTGGCTTGATTTGGTGGATTTTAAATACTTTTTTACTTTACTTAGAAAAAAGTATAAATTATATAGTAAGAAATATTACTACATATAGTAAGAAAATTTAAATTAATTTCCTTGGGAACATGTGATTTACATTAAAAAATGTTAGTTTTCTGAAATATTTTTTTCTTCACTCTCCATTACTTTCTACAACTTCATTTATTTAATATTATTTTTTCTTAAATTATCCGCTTTCGAACGGTATATTATTCGTATACCTTGTGACTTTTGTTTCTGGCGGTTCATTTTCAATCTGTATAAGTATTTTTCTTTTTTTCTCCAGTTTCTGATTATCATATTCTTTCAAACTTCATATTTAGGCATTTTTTATAGTTACTGTCAATAATAGAGAATTATTCTTTTTAAATAATCCATAGTAAAAGTACTTTAGAGAAAGACGTACATGAACATTGGGCTGTAAAGTGACATCAATGGTGATAAGACCTAAATGCTATTAAAGACCAGTTAATTATACAATGATACATCCAGTTTAATCAAAATCGTTAGAGCCATTTTTGAGAAAATTGTAAAAATGTGTTTCACCTTGTTATAAACTAACACTTCCGGTTAGTCGATTTTAACGAAAAGGCTGCTGTCACATCAGAACTACGTAAAAACCTTAAATACGCAATTTAAGTTTCGTACGATGTTTCATTTTTGAGCAAGGCTGTTCCCATGCACACAGACCATTTTTCGGGACTTAGTTATTTGGACTCATGAGAGCTCAAAACGCGTGTTTCCCTTTATTATATATTAAATATATAATATAATGAGTAAGTGAAAATAAAATACATCTCGTAAATTCGTGCAGTTGATATAATGGCATGAAACACATGTTGAGGAATTACCCGGTAATTGCACTCTAATAATATGTCTACACACTGGCGGATCCAGGATTTAATTTTGGGGGGGCTTAAGCCCGAAAGCTTTTTTTTCATAAAAATAACGATAATTCCTTTGGAAAAACAGAAAGAAACTAACTACCTACATGAAATGGTGTTTAAGTGATTCCTTAAGTCCTTTTAAATGTAATTACACGAACAATTATACTTTAAGATGTATTTTTAAAAGTTTTTTTCCATAAAACATGGTTATATTTTACCATTTTGGGGGGGGGGGGGGGGGCTTCAGCCCGAAAGCCCCTCCCCTCCCCCCGTGGATCCGCCCGTGTGTCTACATTATGAGATCACGGGGCATCTTCTTTTCAGACGCCTCGGAGGGTTATCAGAAATTGAAGAGGAAGCAAGGTCAGAAACAAGAGGTTTGGGATGGTTATGAAATTT